AAGTGAAACATGGGTACAAAATTGAAAAAATACTGAATTTTATATGAACTTTTTGCAAAAACCCTTTAAATTACCAGTTTGATTCACTTTAAACTGTCTGCGTTTCGCCCCTCTTGTGCTTCCTGAACACAAAATTTCAGCTCTTAGTATGTTGTTGTTGTTGTTTTCCCCGGAGTCCACCGGTGGTACTGTAGGGATCATCTATGCGATTTGTCATCTATGCGATTTGTCATTTCATGTTGTCATTTTCATTTATATTGTCACCGCTTTATTAATCAATCTGTTACCTGTTGCCAATTGCGCGTCAAGTTTGTTTGTTATTTGTAAACCGGCCTGCCGCTGGCCTCAACCTTCCTAGTAACCGCTGTGCCATACGCTATAGAACGTGTCGTGCAAAGGTCACGGCGGCACCCCTGAGGCGGCCGCTGCCCGTACGTTTAGGAGCCCATTGTCGTGACGTCATGACTGTGAGCAAAGGTCGCGGTAGGGGCTCTCCCGGCAGCCGGACGGTGACTCATACGTTAAGCTTGTCTCTCGCCGCGCCTGCGGGCATATTGGTAGTACTAGGGACGGCCAGCATGTGACCGCGGTTTTCGGCGACATTGTCAATTCGTTTCTCGACTCTGCTGTTCGCTGCAAGACCAATACACATAGAAAACGGCTCGGGCATTTGGAGAAGAGCGGCTACTCTGAGGCGATGGAAGAACACGGAGATTCACACAAACGACCTGACTAGGTTGCACCGGCCACAGTCGACCGAGGTGGGCTTCCGCGCCCTTAAAGACGCCTCTGACTGGCCATTGCGCTGACACCCTGGTCGGACCACGGTCATTGATCGGACCCTGCCACTGGTTCGTGCTCAGGCTGCCTTAGCGGGTAGACCTGCTCGACCAGACGCCCCACTGGTGGGCGAGTGCTCGGTTCCGACTTTCACCGCCGGTCCAACAGCGTTCTGCTGGTTCCCGCCGATCCGGTTACGACACCGCAAGTGCCGTACCGACTCGGGCGTCCCAGGTGGGCGTAACGGTTACCACACCAGTTCGCGACCCCCAGGCTCTGTCAGCCGTCGTACGGCTCTCGGACGGACACTCTAATAGATCAGCCACAGATCAATAGATTGTCACGGACCGTCCGTCCAGCCACGCGCTACCCACAACCCAGTACGACAATTGGTGACCCCGACGTGATCTCCGTTGTTCGACCTTAGCCTCTCGTCATGCCGGCGGACAGCGCACAGTCCGGCGCCGCAGCTCAAGACCCAGCCAGCGTTCCAGCTTCAGCCTCCGAGTCAACTCATCGGCCCATGGCTAGCTTCCGGCTACCACCATACTCTCCGGAAGAGCCCGACCTGTGGCTACTGCAGGTGCAGTGCGCTTTCGACGTCAGCGGGGTCGACTCCGACGAGCTGAGGTTTAAGCTCCTCGTCGCAAACCTCCCCGCCAACATCGCCGTCCAGGTCAAGGACGTCATCCGGTCATCTCGGTCTTTTGACGTGCTGTGTGCAGCGCTCCAAGCCCGCCTGGCACAGTCACGCGCCGACCGACTACAAGCCCTGCTCGGCCGCCAGCAGCTCGGCGATCAGAAGCCGACGGCGCTGTTGCGCTCAATGCGCAACGAGCTTGCCGCAGCCGGGGACGCCCCGGTTGATACGGAGCTCTTCCGTACCCTATTTCAACAACGGCTACCGCAGGCCGTCCGTGCTGCCCTCGCCCTCCTGCCAGCCGACAGCACGCTTGACGCACTGGCAGAAGCGGCCGACCGGTACCTGGAAGCTAGCGGACCCGACCCACGGCTATCAGCGATCGCGGCACAGCCGTACACACAGCCGGCACCGCCCATCGCTGCTGCAGTGACAGCCCCAGCGCCAGCTGCAACCCCTGCGCTGGACACCGTCATCGCCTCCCTGGTCGCTAAGATGGAGCGCCTGGAGGCCAGCAACCGACGACTCGAGGACGCCGTGCGACGCGACCGCAGCCGTTCCCGGCCGCGCCAGGCGTCTCGCCAGTCACGCCGCCCGTCACCGGCTCGTCCTTCAACGCCGCCGCACGACGACACGCTGTGTTGGTACCACCAGCGATTCGGCGCCCAAGCGCGCCGATGCAAGTTGCCGTGCTCCTGGATCGCCTCGGAAAACTGAGGCGCCCCGTGCTGATGGCGCAAAGCACGGGCGCCCCTCCTGCCGCGCCACTCCTCTTCGTGAGGGACACGGAGACGGACCGGCAATTTCTAGTCGACACCGGGGCGCAGGTCAGCGTGCTGCCTCGCCGCTGCCTGCCCAACGGGTCCACACTGACCCCTGCTCCTGTCGGCCAGCAGCTCGTCGCGGCAAACGGCTCACCGATCGCGGTGCACGGCACCTGCCTGCTGGACGTCACCTTGAGTCAGCAGCACCGCCTGAAACATCGATTCTTCGTCACTGACGTCACCACACCCATCTTGGGCACCGACTTCCTGGCCGCACATCACCTCGTCGTGGACGTTGCCAACCAGCGTCTCCTGCGGGACGGCACCGTCTGCGCCAGCGCCGAGCGGTCAAGGCTGTGCTCCATCGGAGTTCGTCTCGTCCGGGAGCAGGCTGCTGCTCGCTTCGCAGCTGTCCTCGCCCGGTACCCGGATGTGACCTCACCAAAACCTGGACCAACACCGGTGAAGCACAACGTGACGCACCACATCGTCACCAAGGGTCCACCGGTGTACCAGCGGCCACGACGCCTCCCGCCGGAGCGCCTTCAAATCGCACGTGCCGAGTTCAACAAGATGCTCCAGCAAGGCACCATTCGACCGTCCAGCAGCAGCAACAGCGGCAACAGCAGCAGCAGCAGCAGCAGCAGCAGCAGCAGCAGCAACAGCAGCAACAGCAGCAGCAGCAGCAGCAGAGGCAACAGCAGCAATACCGGCTCCTCACTGCGGCTTCCCGGCGAGTTCTTCATCAGCAGCCAAGCCTCAGCAGCATCACCGGCCGGTTTCGTACAAGACCTGAAGCGCGCCATGTCTCAGGTGCGGCCGACACTCCCACGTCCGGTCCAGCGCGCCACGTACGTCCCGACGGCACTCCAGACGGCGACACACGTCTTCGTGCGCAGGGACTGTCACCGCTACCCGCTGGACGCTCCATACGACGGACCGTTCCCGGTTACCGAAAGGACCACCAAAACCATCACCATCGACCGTCGACAGAAAAAGGAAGTCATCAGCATCGACCGGTGTAAGGCCGCCTTCCTGGAGACGCCAGACGAATCCGGTCATCGACAGTCTGACCTGCCGACTGTGCAGCCGCACGGTACTCAGTCCAGCGGCCCGCCGGCCGCGCCACCGCTCAGCAATGAGCCCAGCGGCCCGGAGCTTCTGATCTACGGTGACGCACCAAATCGCCCTGCAGCCGTCGCTCGGGCTGACGCTGCACCATTGCAGCCTCGGCCGATACTACGGACGACCCGCTCCGGCCGCGTCATACGACCTCCGGTAAGATATCGCCATGTCACTTTTGTCCGCGACATGTCTGGCGAGGGGGTACTGTAGGGATCATCTATGCGATTTGTCATCTATGCGATTTGTCATTTCATGTTGTCATTTTCATTTATATTGTCACCGCTTTATTAATCAATCTGTTACCTGTTGCCAATTGCGCGTCAAGTTTGTTTGTTATTTGTAAACCGGCCTGCCGCTGGCCTCAACCTTCCTAGTAACCGCTGTGCCATACGCTATAGAACGTGTCGTGCAAAGGTCACGGCGGCACCCCTGAGGCGGCCGCTGCCCGTACGTTTAGGAGCCCATTGTCGTGACGTCATGACTGTGAGCAAAGGTCGCGGTAGGGGCTCTCCCGGCAGCCGGACGGTGACTCATACGTTAAGCTTGTCTCTCGCCGCGCCTGCGGGCATATTGGTAGTACTAGGGACGGCCAGCATGTGACCGCGGTTTTCGGCGACATTGTCAATTCGTTTCTCGACTCTGCTGTTCGCTGCAAGACCAATACACATAGAAAACGGCTCGGGCATTTGGAGAAGAGCGGCTACTCTGAGGCGATGGAAGAACACGGAGATTCACACAAACGACCTGACTAGGTTGCACCGGCCACAGTCGACCGAGGTGGGCTTCCGCGCCCTTAAAGACGCCTCTGACTGGCCATTGCGCTGACACCCTGGTCGGACCACGGTCATTGATCGGACCCTGCCACTGGTTCGTGCTCAGGCTGCCTTAGCGGGTAGACCTGCTCGACCAGACGCCCCACTGGTGGGCGAGTGCTCGGTTCCGACTTTCACCGCCGGTCCAACAGCGTTCTGCTGGTTCCCGCCGATCCGGTTACGACACCGCAAGTGCCGTACCGACTCGGGCGTCCCAGGTGGGCGTAACGGTTACCACACCAGTTCGCGACCCCCAGGCTCTGTCAGCCGTCGTACGGCTCTCGGACGGACACTCTAATAGATCAGCCACAGATCAATAGATTGTCACGGACCGTCCGTCCAGCCACGCGCTACCCACAGCGCAGTACGACAGTACATATATTTAATCATCAACGAAAGAAGCACTTGAGATCAGCATCGGGAGATTGAGTGAAACGTGAATCAATAAATGGCGCTGCATAGGGCTAAAGGTGAGGATAGGATTTGTTTAACAGTTAGAATTGATTAGAAGAGTGCAGAAGATTAGTGGTTAGAAGGTTGGGAGGCAGCACCATTTATGATACGATCACAGAAACACAGGACTACAGAGGCCACCATCATCTCGAACTGGGTTTGTCGCAGTTCTCCACCGCAGTCAAGACTGGAAGGCCCGGGAAGGGCGGCGCACATCAACAAAGCGACGAGAGCGACATCTATAGGCTGGTGTCAGTCAACCGCAGAGCGTGAGGGAGGGTTACACGTGTGCAGAATCAGCACTACCTGTCAGGCCAATTCGAGTAGCGCAGCCGCGGGACCGCTCCATCAGCGATAACAGCGCCACCTACAAAATCCGGAGTCACATGTTGGACCAGCTCGCAGACTGAGCGCCAGGTCGCGAGCAGGTTTAGCTCAGCTGCGACAACGGCGTCCGCCGCAGACAGGTTCAGCGCCATCTGTTGTTCCGACTTGTAGCTAGAAGTTGCCTTCAGTCACTGCAGCACAAACAGGTTGACACTGGAGAACAGAGCCGACCTGCAGATAAAGTTGCCTTCAGTCGCTGCAGACCTCCCGGTGTCACAGGCAAACAGTCCTTAGCCATGAGTGAGAGGCCTTAATCAGGGCGGTCAACACTAGACTGACATGGCGCACAGTCTCTGACGAACAGTGCAGCCCGCTGAGGTAGATACTATCGGAAATATCACTCCTTCCGCTGCACGGGCGAAGCATCTCCGCGGGTGGCCCGGAGACCAGGCGACCAGTCAGTCGTAGCGGAACTATTATTGAGTGCACCAACACCAGTGACGTCGGTTTTCGCACGAAACTCTAGATGAAGCGCATCCAGACAGGTGATGCCGTGAACTGGTGCGGCTGGCCGCCGCCAGCGCAGCATACCGCATGGTCTTCAGACCTCCCCACTCTCCCACCGAACCGACCGTTGGCCCACGATCCTGTTCCCTCCTCCGACCTCTGCAGAGCATTTGCCGCTCCCCGGCCTCTACCCCCCCCCCCCAGCCGAAACCACCGCCAGAGAGCGGATCTGGACAGGGCCAGCGTGCGTACAAAGTGGTCCCGAGGCCATTCGCTGGTCGGCGAGGGTAGCACCACGCCTCTTCATATCTGGAGTTTGCTTGCAGCACATGCGTTGGTACTCCAGTGGTCCAGGGTGACCAGACTGCAGGGCGGCAGTACAGACCGCAGGGCGGCAGTACAGACCGCAGGGCGGCAGTACAGACTGCAGGGCGGCAGTACAGACTGCAGCCGCAGTATCCGGCTGAATCCAGCGAGCCCAGGAGCGGTCCACCGAAGAAGCTGAAGAGGTCTTCAGAAGAGACGGACATCGTCAGCATATATCCTGGGTGTCCCGACAATGCCGCCTCGCCGTCCCCAGCAGCCGAGCGATGTCAGGCCACAGGGCCACTGGGCCACTGAGCTCATCGTGGGACCATCGAGTCAGAGCGCGGAGCTGGTGCTGGCTGGAAGGAAGGAGAATAGGAGATAAAGAGCAGAAAGCAACGGGGAGCAGAGAGTGAAGTAATCAATCAAATGGCCACTGAACAGCAGAATGTGATCATTTTGAGAAGATATCAAACGGCAGAAGAAGCATACCGTGGAGCGTTCTACTGAATTTAAAACAATGGATAGATTACATACATAGTGTGGTTAGGTTCCCAAATGCTTCTGAATGATCAGCATCATGAGGTGTGGTAAAGGTTACATGGTTTCCCGTGGCCACACCTCATGACGCGTTGAATTTCATTGATCAAATATAGACTGGTGACGAGAACGAATAAGTAAGTGAACTAGAAAAAACAACAAAAAATAAAACAACAACAAAAAGAAAAGAAATACCTAATACTGATAATACAGCTATAATATCCCACTGCCACACACTGAAACACTATCCTAACAAAACATGGTAGGAACTACATATGGAAGGATCGCCAATCCGTCAGCAAAATCATTGTCCTTATCCTGCTAATGAGAGGTGCCCACACCGTGGGCGAAGATACAGTTTGTTTTTGTTTTTTCCTCAATTATATATGATAAACACACATGATAAAATATAACACAAAAATCAATACACAGGTTAGTAGGTGTCCAAAAACAGTATTTTTACACACTTCTTGAAAAGCCCCTTTGAACGGGGAATGTCATTGATGTTAGGTATCTTAGGAGTAATCAAATTATTCCATAGGGAGGGACCACTGCAAAATAGCACAAACTGGCGATAGTTTGTGATTCTGTAATTTGGTATTTCTGTTCCACTGCTGTTCAAAATTGATTCACTAAAGTGAATAACTCTTCTGGTTGGTCGGTTCCCATCAAATAATGTAAATTTTGCAATGGGATGAGGGAGACGTTCATGTAAGAAATCATGCATGATTAGAAGTGATTGATATTTCACAAGGTCGGTGACCTTAAGAATTTTGAGTTCTTTGAATAGTTGTGTAGTGTGCGAAAGCAGGCGGGAGCCTGATATTAATCGGACTGCTCTCTTCTGAACCGTGACCAGGGGTTTCAGAGTAGTCTCGTAGTTTGAGCCCCAAATAACAACACAATAGGTTAAGTGAGGCAAAATCAAAGCATTATACAGTAAGAGAAGAAGTTTTTTGGTAAGGTAGTAGCTAGATCTAGCTAACACGCCAAGAATGCGACTACATACACTAGTGATTTTAGTGATATGTGATTTAAACTTTAGGTCTTCGTCGATCAAGAGACCAAGGTATTTGACGGTGGGCGCGCGTTTCAAAAATGTGTTATTTGTGGGAATATTTAGTTCGATTGACTTGTCCGTTAGAAAAAGCTGGTAGAAGGTTTTAGAAATGGATAAAGAAAGTCTGTTGGAATGCAACCACTTACAAATTTTAGGAAAAGACCTTCCAATCTTCTCTTGCAGTTGTGCTATGGATGGGGCAGCATAAAGCAAAGCTGTATCATCAGCAAATAACAGGATTTTAGCTTCATCACAGGCTTTATAAATGTCATTCATATAAACTATAAAGAGGAGTGGTCCCAGTATTGACCCTTGAGGTACCCCACAGGAGATATCCCTCTCTCCAGAAACAAAATCATGGAACTTAAGCTTTTGGGTACGGTGACTTAGATAAGATGCAAATAGCGAACGGGCAACTCCATTTACACCATATACTGAAAGCTTTTTCAATAGTATCTCAATATTTACAGTATCAAATGCTCTTGCAAGATCTAGGTAAATGCTGGCCGTTTTGTTACCGTCAGATAAATTAGCAGTGACAAAATCATGCAGTATAGCAACTGGCATGTAGGTTGAGTGACCTGGTCGAAAACCAAATTGATACTGGAACATAACATTGTTCTCAGTTAAATATGCTGTGAGTTGTGCATTCATAATAGTTTCAAGAACCTTAGAAAGTACAGGTAGGATTGAAATCGGTCTGTAGTTGGAGAATACTGTACGAGACCCAGATTTAAAAATGGGTGAAATTAAAGCCTGCTTTAAGATGTTGGGAAAGATCCCTTTTCTAAAACAAAGGTTGACTAAGTGTGATACCTCAACACTAATTGTTTGAATTAACAGTTTCAGTAATTTAGTGTTTACTCCGTCAGAGCCACCACACGTTTCTTTAAGATTATTCACCACCTCCATAATGCAACCTGGAGTAACAGGAGAAAATGTCATTGAGTCTGTTGGCACAGGGACATCGTTTAAGTAACTAAGGGGGTCCACATTACATGGCCCAAGTGCTCCATCTAGATTAGGGCCAACCTGGCTGTAGTACTTGTTAAATTCATTAGCAATAACATTCTGGTTGTCAGTAGAAATGCCGTTTATTTCAAAATGCATTGGAAGTCGAGAAATATTCTTTTTAGTGTGTGTAACCTCACGTAGAGTGGCCCACAATAGCCTAGAGTTGTTTGACTGTTTCTCAAATTGATCGGCATAGTACATCTTTTTGGAATGACGAATAGATAATCTTAGAGTATTACGATATTTTCTAAATTTAGTTTCATTTTCAAGAGTTCTATTCTTCAAGAATATTTTCAGTAACTTATTACGCTTGTCAATACATCGAAGCAAGCTTGGTGTGACCCAAGGTTGCACGGGTGTCCATCGTTTGGAACTTTTTGGAACAGAGAGCTTGGCAGATTCACTTTGAATGGTAGATATCAGGACTTCCGCTGCAGTATCTGGGTCTTCAATTAATGTATAGTCAATTAACTTTGTTGAGACATTGGCTTTCAATTCTTCAATACGTTTGAAATCAAAGCTACTCGATATCTTTTGGGCGATTGCTTGCCTTGAGCAAGTCAGAATATCACTGGTGCACATTATGGTCATGTGATCTGCTATGCCTGTGTTAATAGTAGCACATCGGATAATAGTATCTGGGACATTGCAGAAAATATTATCAATTAAAGTCCTGGTGTATGGTGGTATATTTGATGTGCGACTCGCAATTGATATGGTGGGTGAGTATCCATACGCTGTGAGGCAATCTAGGAAATTTCTGACTTCCCCACGATCATTGTGGGGAAGTCAGAAATCTGAAATCTTGATCTTAACAAACGAGAACGATCGAATGGGGCTGGTGTCGGTCCAAGCTCCTCCTCCTGGCTGTGACCACTGCAGCATCCACTGTCAGTACTTCTTTGATGTTGAAATCGCATTGCAACACACCTCGCTCCATCACCTCTTATGGGAAAGAGGGAGATATGGAGACATGAATGCCATCTTGGCAGACATAGACTGGGATTTCGAATTCCAATTCCTCACTGCGCAAGAAGCACTCAAGAGATTGATGGACATCTTGTGCCCACTGATATCTCAACTGATACCAACTGCCAAGCAAGGAAAGGCTCGCCGGGTCCCATGGAAAACCAACCCACCTTCTTCGCTCAAACGTCGACGAGCATCCACCTGGTCAGCATACAAACAAGCCCGAGCATCCTACGGCAAGCAAGCGCCAACAACCCGATCACGACTGAATGATTTCTTAGGCGTAAATAAACAACTCCGCAACTTTGCCGTTCGCTCGCAGATCGACTACGAGAAGACTCTCTTGTCTAAGTTGAAAGAAAGCCCGAAACTGCTCCATGCCTATCTGCGCCACAAGAAACAATGCAGGTCATCAGTCGGACCGCTGAAGGCGCCTTCGGGATCGATCATCGACGACCCGAAGTCGATGGCAGATGTTTTTGTTGAGGCGTTTGCTGAAACGTTCTCCAATCAGGATCTACCCAACCCAGCTTCTCACCAGTCATGTGACGCGATACTTGAACATGTTGAGTTCACAGTAGAAGACGTCAGGACAATACTCTCCCAACTGTGCGTCAACTCCGCCATGGGGCCGGATGGTCTTCACCCTCACCTGCTAAAGGCTTGCGCTTCGAAGCTAGCACAACCACTGCACCGGATCTTCAAGCTGTCACTGTCAGAGGGAGTCTTGCCTGCTCTCTGGAAACTATCACACGTTGTGCCCATCTACAAGAAGGGGTGTCGTCTCGACCCCCTTAACTATCGCCCAGTGAGCCTCCTATCAGTACCATCCAAGTGCCTGGAACGTCTGATCTATCGTGAACTGCGCGATTTCCTGACAGAAAACTCAATTCTTGCAGACGAACAGTTCGGATTCAGGTCGGGACGATCAACCGAAGACCAGCTTCTTCTCACTTATGACTATATATCAAAGCAGTGGGATGACGGGCACATTGTAGACCTGATTCTCTATGATTTCTCCAAGGCCTTTGACACAGTGAGCCATGTCGTCCTCATCGAGAAGCTCAGGTGCATCGGTCTTCGAGGAACCATTCTGACATGGCTGCAAGAATTCCTCACGGACCGTACCATGCGGGTGGTGGTGAAGAGCACCCTGAGCACCCCAAGAAGTGTGCGCAGTGGCGTGCCGCAAGGCTCCATCCTGGGACCAGCGCTCTTCCTTATCTATATAAACCATCTAGCGACCCAGCTCAGGTGTCAGTACAAGATTTTTGCGGACGACTTGAAGGTATACATGTGCATCACCAAACCTGAGATCGACATGTCGAATTTTCAGTCTGATGTCGACGTACTGCACACAACCGCATCATCATGGGGCCTGAGCATGAACCTGAAGAAATGCGCCGTCATGAGGTTCCAGAGACGATTCCATGCGCCGCTGAGACCCACCTACTTCTTGCAGGACGAACTGCTTCCCTGGACACACTCCCATGTGGATCTGGGAGTCACTGTCGATGACGACCTGAAGTTCCATGGGCAAGCAAGAGGTGCAGCAAGGAAGGCGGGTGGAGTTGCCCACAACTTTCTGAGAGCTACCCTCTGTAGAGAGCCGGACTTCATGGTTCATGTCCTCAGTACACATATTCGCCCTGTCCTTGAGTACGCGTCGGTGGTGTGGAACACTGGTTTTGTTGAAGACTCTAAGAGACTCGAGGCAGTGCAAAGACTCTGGACTCGTCACGTCAAGGACCTGAAGGGCAAGACCTACGAAGAGCGGCTCAGATCACTCAACCTGTACTCTGTCAAGGGACGCCTACTGCGGGCAGATCTGATAAAATGCTGGAAAATATTCAGAGGACGCTGTCCGATAAAACCGGCAGATCTCTGGGACATTGCAACCGACCATCGCACCCGAGGCAACATGTACAAGATCAAGACTCGTCGCTGTCAGCTCGATACCAGGGCGCGTTTCTTCTCGGAGAGAGTTGTCAGCGAATGGAACTCTCTACCCAATCAGGTCGTTAACTCGGAATCCATATCCGAATTCAAGACAAGCCTGGCAGAAGCTCTAGGCAGCCGACTGTTTGAATATGACGCATGAGGGCGTCACGGTGGAAGCTTCAAGCAAGTAGTCCACCATGTGAAGCTCATCGAGTCCAGGCAGACAACGAGCAATGTCTCAATTAAATCCTGTGTCACATTCCCGAATATCTGTTAGCAGACGCACTATTCCAGCTCTCACGTGTACCTTACTCCATCTTACCGTGGGAGTATTGGCGCGTCTCTGCCATTCTTGGTTTCCTTCCCATCCCCATGCATTGGACGGGACGTGGAAACCTAACAGGTGAGTCTAATTGTAGTGGAAGAGGTCCACATTCCAATCGCCACCTAGAAATGTAGGTCTGTTAAGCTCTTTCAGCATGACAAGTGCCTCTTCTAAAGGTGGCATCAACAAATCCAGGGGGAAAGACGGAGATCTGTAAACAACTGCAACCACAAAAGAGGGTTTGTTTGGCCAGTTAACTTCAACAAATAGGCTTTGGAATTCAGTTTGCTTGTGACATAAATTAGTCAGGGGCTTACAATAGGGAAATATGTTATTTTTAATATAAATGGCACACCCTTTGCCAACAGATGATGAGGTTGGAGTGCAGTGAATCATTTCATAACCACATATTGAGTATCCTTCTGCCGTGACCTGGTCTAGCCAAGTTTCACTTAACAAAATGAAATCAATTTGGTGTCTTTGGTTGGTGACAAAGGCAACAACATCATCAAAACTTTGATGAAGAGATCTCACGTTTATATGCACAACAGAAAGCGCTTCAGTCTCCGTGAATTCTGTAAATTGTTCTACAGATATGCTCTGGCACCTGAGTGCCAGATCCTGTACTTCTGGCTGGGAGAATGTGAACCCATTAGAGACATCCAAATCAGCAGGGACAAGTGTTGGCGATTGTAAAAAAGCCTGGAGTGCTTCCTTCTGTCTTAGTCTTTATTCAGTCAGACTGCCGATCTTGAGGCCAACACAACCCTGTAAGCCGAGAGATGCTGCGCATTAGACAGAGCGAATCACAGTGCCAATCGTTACATCTTTACATCTCTCCCTTGCGCCCAAAAGCGGGAAGAGGGGCCCAGCAGCGCAGTGCCAACATAACATACGGTAGTGCTTAGCAAAATGATAATTGACTTGGTCGCTCACTCGCGAACCGGCGATCAACACGATGACGCAGTATCGCCCGTATCACTCACGAGCGCGATCAACAAACAAAAAAAAAAAAATGACGCAGTATCACTCGTATCACCGGCGACCGGCGATCAACACGATGACGCGGTATCGCTCGTATCACTCACGAGCGCGATCAACGAACAAAAAAATGACGCAGTATCGCTCGTATCACCGGCGACCGGCGATCAACACGATGACGCGGTATCGCTCGTATCACTCACGAGCGCGAACAACGAACAAAAAGATAGCGCAGTATCGCTCGTATCACGCATGAACGCGCGACAAGTGCGGTTGTATGGCACGCGATGAGTGGTAGGTGGTTCACATCACGACACGGACGCAAACAGCGGTTCGTGGTCGCATGTTTTCAGTGGGGAACGTAGTCAGACCAGTAGGCTGGCGGGCGGGTACGCCTTTTTGGGCGCCCCGCAGCCGGGGGATCGTGCGTTTCCTGGTGTCCGGCGACGGGATCGGGGGTGGGTGTCACGCCTACGACGGGCCCAGAGGTGGCGGTGCCCGCCGCCGATGGAGGAGCGGGAGAGGTAAGTGTCCCGGGTGCCCGATGTGCTCCCGGTGTGCTCCCAGCACGGTCCTGACTGACTGGTGTGACTGGTCCCAGGGACGGCCCTTCGTCGTGGTAGCGGTCCAGCGGGTAGCGGTGCTGTCTGTAGGTGGGTGGCCGTGACGGTAGGCAGACCCGCTTGAACTTTTGGGCGTCTCTGGTGACGGTCTGCTGTCCCCGAGCTGCTGTGATCCGTGTGCCTCGTGCGCTGGTTACCGTGTACGGTAGGGGGTCGTACCGAGACGCTGTTTTGCTCCTCTGCCCCAGGAGGAGGACGGTGTCCCCCCGTCTGATGTTGTGGGGGGTCACGTTGGCTGGGCGGTCCTTGTACGCCTTTTGGGTTTGTTTTGCTTTCTGGTGTGCGTCTCGCACGCTCTGGTCGTCGTGCGACGGTTGTGTTGGCCTCTTAGTCCAGGTGGCTGGTAGACGAGCACGGTATGTCCTGTTGAACAGAAGTTCAGCCGGTGGCCGTCCCGTGCTAGTGTGCGGCGTCGCTCTGTACTGTCTTAGGAGCTTGTAGAGCTCTTGCTTCGGGTTCTTGTGTTCGACCCGTGCCGCGTGCCAAGTTTTCTTGATTGCCTTCATGAAGTTTTCCACTAGGCCGTTGGCCTCAGGGTCCTCTGGCGTCGTTTTCTGATGCTTGAAGCCAGCCCAGCGGGCGTAGGCGGCGAACTCATGGCCATTGAAAGGCGGTCCTCCGTCCGTTCTCACCGTTTCTGGCATGCCGTGCGTGGCGAAGATCTTGTCGATTAGGGGGATGGCTGCTTGTCCGCTGGTGCTGCTGGTGATCTCCACTTCTGGGAATCTGCTGTAGTCGTCTATGACCACTAGAAGGTACTCTCCATTGCTCAGCGGGCCCCAGAAGTCCGCCGACACTTTCTGCCATGGCCTTTCAGGTAATGCGCTGGGGCAGAGTGGGTCTCTGGTGGGCTTGTAGACTGTGGCCTGACAGGCAATGCAGCCAGACACCTTTTCCTCCATGAGTGTGTCCATACCCGGGAACCACACGCAAGCCCGCAGGAGCTTCTTTGATTTTTCCACACCTTGGTGGCCCTCGTGCGCCAGTTCGACGGCTCTGGTGCGGAGGTTCCCCATGCCCGGTTCAGGCTCAGTCTTCGGGATGAAGATCCGGTCGCCTCGCAGCACTACTCCTTGTGTGTAGGTAAGCTCCGGAAAGATCTGCCTGAACCGTGCTAGCTCTGCGTCTTTGCTCAGGTACCCCTGTTTGATGCTCTTGATAAGTGCCTGGCTCTGCTGGTCTCGTGCCGTGGCATCCTGTACCATTTCTTTGGTGAGTGCGTCTGGTAGGTCGTTGCAGATGACGGCGTTCACGTGCACTTCATCGTCGTGCTCGACCAGCATCTTGTCTAGTTGTTGGCTGTCGTACGTGACGAGGGGTCTGGGGTGTCTTGAGGCGTAATCGCATGGGTTATGCTTGCCTGGAAGGTGCGTCATGCGGTACTGAAACTCCTGGGTCTTGAGTTTGTGCCTTTGTACGCGCGCGTTGCCGCGACAGCTTCCGTTGAAGACGCCTAGCAGAGGCTTGTGGTCGGTCATGGTCTCAAACTTGATACCCAGTAGGTATTGGCGGTGAGCTTGCATGCCCCAGGCCTGTGCTAGCGACTCTTTTTCGAACTGGCTGTAGTTCTTCTCACACGGCGTGAGGCTTCGACTGGCGTGATCCACTGGGATCCATGTGCCGTCTCGCGCGACCTGGAAGAGGCTGGCGGCTATGCCCTCCGGGCCCGCGTCTGCCACCAGCTTCGTCTGAAGTTTCGGATCGAAGGGTCTCAGTGCGTCTTCACTGGTCATGGCCCTCATGACGTCCTGATAGGCCCTTTCTTGTTCTTCGCCCCAGACGAATCTTGCGTTCTTGTGGGTGAGGACCCGCAGGGGATGTGTCATCTGCGCGTAGGCTTGTTCGGACCGTATCATGAACTTAGCGTTATACTGGCACGCCTGAAGAAAGCTTTTGACATCGTCTGCGTCTTGCGGCCGGCCTGCCGCTCTCACCGCGTCTAGTTTCCGCGGATCGGCCGACATGCCAGAGGCGGAGAAGATCCAGCCGAACCATGACACGGACGTCTTGCCCAGGTTGCATTTCTCCCTGCGAAGTGTGAGACCCTGTAAGCCGAGAGATGCTGCGCATTAGACAGAGCGAATCACAGTGCCAATCGTTACATCTTTACAGCGATCCATCTATAACTTTGACTTCATAGGCCATCTAACTTCCTCACACAGGATGGGAAAGTCAGAGAACAAGTAATACCTGACAATGGCAGTGGGACATCATTACCTTGGGTGTTAGCCCAAACACAAAACAGAAACAGAAGAAATATCATACCAACAAAAACTCACATACAGGCAGACAATGCACCTCCACTGCCACAAGGGAGAAGGCCGCCTCAGAGTACAGACACCGAGATACAGCCCCTAACCCCAACGGCAGCAGACTTATAGTCAGTTGCCATAGAACAATGTGACCAAAATAATAGACTATGCATGACAGTAGCAACAAAAGACAGTAGCTTCTCATTCAGAATACTGCTAACCTTTGGAATGTCCAGTCCTTGTCCTAGGTTCAGCTCGCATTGCAGCCAAAAATGTATGCAAACTTACAGATCAATGGCCACTAATTGATTTGGCGGGTTTACCAAACATTTGGTAATCCCGGTTTTACGCTATTACAGGGTTTCTTGACTGAACAATTTGAAATTTTTTTGAATTAATGCTAGAACGTGATAAGCTTAAACTGTTGCAGGACGCGGAATTTGTGTTTCATTCTAAGCATGAACAGTGGCGGCGGCCGGCGGAACACCTTGGTGGGGGGTGGGGGGGGGGGGGCACTGGCGACTAATTTGGTCCCATTCTTTCCATAATCAAAGGGGGGCACGGTGCCCCGGTCCCCCTCTGTTCCGCCGCCTATGAGCATGAACACTGGCCGATCCAAAGTAGGAAATGTACCCCTCCAGTCCATCAGCGCCTGAAATTAGCCACTTAGCTCGCACAAGAAAGAAATTAGACTACCTATATTGATTTATATTTAATAGCAAGGTTAGATACACCGCAGTGAAATTCGAAGTTTTTTTTGTTGTTGGAGCCTGGAGGTTGCCTGCCTGGAGCCTTTTGAGGCTGTGGCCTCCCCCCGCACCATCCAGAACCACTTTTCTGGATCCCTGGTGATAACAGAGTCCAGAGTCAACAGTCTGACCAGTCTGAGCTGAGTTCATCTTTATATCTATGATTTTACCCCATTAGATGCCACCCGGGTGGCGTCGATCGATACCCCACATCCGGAGTCACACCTGTCTCCGTGCCTGAAGCCGCCCCTGCTCCGGTTCAGTCCGGCGCGTTCTGGTACTTTTCCACTGTTTACGTCGTGAGGTCAGCTGTTTCGGATTGACGTCATAGCCTAGCCTTCGCAACGCGGCTCTGTGATTGGTGGACGTCTGAGGGCCTGGCGTCCAGGCCCCGCCCACAACCGCGTGCGCGCGGCGGTTGCATCATCACTCCGGCTCGCGCTGATGTGTCGTGGTCCGTTCATGTGCCGTGGGGCCGGGTTTCGTTCGACCCCGGCGGTTTCCCGTGCGCAGTTTCCTGCCGGTCCGTCTGCGAGTCGGTCGTGTCGTGTTGTGGACGTTTCGCACTCGGGACACAGCGGGCGTGCTTCCGTCCGGTGACTCGGGCCGTCGGCTGTCTGTGAGTGCGTGAAGGAGTTGAAGTTTGAACTCTCGAGTGTCGGAGCACTCATGACAAGGACACACCAAGGTTAATTTTAGCTGATAGTAGGAAACTTTGGGTCTGTGATCATGAAGTTTTCGAGATGTTTCAGAGGTCTGGCGCAAATGCTGGACACCTACTCAGGGTACAAGCCGTCTCCATTGTCCATCAAACAGTTCATCGATTTCGGTAAGTGTTCTGTTGGCACTGGCACTTCCTTTGAGTTATCGAGCTATTTTTCTTTTATAGCTTTTATATCTTCTTGGAGGGACGCTGTTGTGCTGGACTGTGTTCTCAAACGATGATTTGCAGAATTCCTTGTTATTTGTTGTGTGTCACCGTTACAAGCGCAGTTTTTTGTCGGTCTTGGTCTCCTCTCCAGGTTATGTAAATATCCCCTGCGATAAAGCTTTGTTTTGGTTTGCCCGCGAACGTCTCGTGTTTTTCCACGCGCTGTTTTGGTATGAGCGTCCCAAACACCGTTCCGCTATGTCGTCGGTCGCTTCCAAGGCCGGCCGTCCGCTGGGAGCGTATCGGGGCATCTGAGCCGGGCGGCCGCCTGGACCCGTCTCTCCACTATACGTTACGCTACCTACTCGAGGGGAAGCGGGACCATTCATTCATGTGTCCGCCCAACCAACGGCAACAACAGCCAGCTGTTTAAAAGCATTATGATGTTGATATGCTGACGGCCCTCAATACACCACGGTCCCCTTGACCCCAACGATACTCCGGTCCTAGCGGCCCTCGAAATACCCTTCTCCTGGTAGCTCTCACGATATCCCGCTCTTGATGGCCTCCAGTACCCCTCTCCTGACTGCTCCTGCGTTCTCCATCTGCTCAGGGACCACGGCCTCGGAGCGGCAGAGTTTCCAGTTCCTGCGTCAGGAACTGCCGGTGCGTCTGGCCAACATCATGATGGAGATCCAGCTGCTGCCGGAGAGCCTGCTGTCGCAGCCGTCCTGCCGTCGCGTGGTGGACTGGTACCAGCAGAGCTTCAGCGAGCTGCTCCAGTTTTGCGCCGCCAACCCGGAGAGCTCGGCCGCCAGGGATGAGTGAGTGAGGCGCGGCTATCAGGGGTGTCATATGGTAGTCTTGTCATGATTACCGCTACTTACTTTAGTTTCTTCATGCCGTGTGTCAACGTTATCCTGCGTTTGTAAAAATCTAGAAACATCTGTTTACCTCGGGACAGGTCTGCAGTGTGCATTGGTGCTTTTATTCGCTTAATCGTCGGAAAAATACCGATGAGCTTTCACCAAACACTGGTCAGTTGGCATACATTACGGTCAGACGCTCTACTGATGCCGACCGGCCCAATTCACAGTCATCTGCGACTTACCTATTTGCGTGTCTCTTCTCCCGTGCTCTTGTCGCACATTCTGAGCACAACAAACCCCTTTTTGCGACAGCTTCTGCGAGTCGCTGGTAAACATCCGAAACCGGCACAGCGACGTAGTCCAGACGATGGCGAAGGGCGTCATCGAGCTCAAAGACAACACGCGCGTCGACTGCTCCACGGAGAACAACATCCAGTACTTCCTCGACCGGTTCTACATGAACCGCATCAGCATCCGCATGTTGATCAACCAGCACACGCTGCTGTTCGGCTCGGGACTGGGCGGCGACCCGCGGCACATCGGCTGCATTGACCCGTACTGTGACGTGGTTGAGGTGATCAAGGACGCGGCAGCCAGCGCGCGCTTCCTCTGCGAGCGCTACTACCTGGCCTGTCCGGAGCTGGTCGTCTCACAGTTCAACGGTGAGAGACGCTGACACACACGGAGTTTGCCTTGGGGAGGAGTAGGGGTAGAGGGTGTTGTTTCATGTTTGCTAACATTTTTATCGACGGCGATTTTACCATTTGCGTGTACTTACCCGCTATCAGAGACGTGAACAAGAGTCGCACGTCTTTTTTTGTGACCGTGCAAAAAGTCCGCTTGTGTGTAGTTGCTTGGCAACCTTATCTCGTTCTCGCTGTCCTCTCACTGAGCATTAGTGCGTGACTTGTAGTTGGCACGGTTCCCCCGTACTGAGACGTGGGGTTATGGACTAAGTAGTGACTGACGGTCCGCCTCCCCCCGACCCCGTCTGGTTCACAGAGACCTTCCAGCGCTCCAACAAACACCCCGGTGAGTAATCACAAACACAAACACTGTCGGAGTGTGCTTTGATCCGCTCCTATCCGCCGTTTCACGTTTTTGGAACGCGTTTCTGATAATGGCGATGTTATCCACGCTACTTGCTCTACGAGTCTGTCATAGTTGAAACAAATTTTCAAGAGCGCAGTTTTTTGTTGTCAATTATCGCTCATCAATTAAGACCTTATATGATATGGGTTTCATATTACCTACAAACTTACGTCTTTTTTGTATTGAATTCTCTTGTTTCTGCCTGTGACCGTGATTCGATATCACTTTCCTCTCATCAACTTGTTACGGGTGTCTATTATCGTTATCAGCTTCCAAATTGGATAACGTTCTCATAAGTGATGGTATCGTGCGTGCTGTCATCTCACGGTATCAGCACAGCTGACCGTGTCGTGACCGCACCGCCGCGATGACCTGACGGTGTCCCCGCCCGCCGGCAGACGCCCTTCCGCCGCCGATGCAGCTGACGTACGTGCCGTCGCACCTGTACCACATGCTGTTCGAGCTGCTGAAGAACGCCATGCGGGCGGTGGTGGAGAACCACCCGACCGGCGCCGAGCTGCCGCCCATCCAGCTGTACGTCATCCTCGGCGGAGAGGACCTCGTCATCAAGGTGGGTCACGCGCTGTCGCGCTCGAAACTGGCTATCGTTTGTTGTGGCAAGTTGGTGTAGTATGGAACATTCATTCGAGATACACGAGCAGGTGAATAAACTACAGGTGGAATTCGTATGTATCGTCATCCGCCTCTCTGCAATGTGAATTTACTTAGCTCCTTTATCGGGAGTAGATGTCGGGACTACGAATTTCTGAGACGCAGTGATGGTCGCAGACCCCGGTAGCCGACGAGGCAGACTGCCGCCGTTTGGCCGTGAAAGTTTAATTACACCTGACGTCGGTGACCTACTCTGCCGCCGCACACTGGTCGGAAACGCTCCAGCGAGAGGCCAGCGGCCTTTCCGCAAAAGTTTTTTGCTTGTTATTCCACAACTAGTGAAGCAAACTTCACAAAACTTTGCATACCTTCTCTGTCATATGTAAGCTATCATTTGGATGTCAAGCACTAAATATATGACGTGAATCTGTTAAGTTATGACGTCATAATTGAGTATAATACAGGATGTAGCACCACTTTAAGTCAACAAGGGAAATTGGGAGCTGCTATTCGGGCACCGGGAATGGTTTCATGCACTCCTTGCAAGGTCCAGTGCTTCACTTTAGCATTGTTGACTTTGCGTGACGTCATTTATGACGTCACTAAGACCATATAAGTTTTTCGTCAATAACTCCTGATCAGATGGAGCTAGAGAGTCGGGAAAGCCACCCTTGGACTCAGAAAGACCTGCCGAATCGAATGGTATGCGATATGACCTCCTTCAACCATTTTCGTGACCTGAGGGGCTCCGACCTGACCTTGACCCGAGGTTAACACCTTAAGTTGACTTCACCCGAACACCAAGTATAGCATTCAACGCGCCTGAGGTAGACAAACACGATGATGCCAAAATCGCGGCAGTGCGACCATTTTTGGCAAAGTAATTAACCTAAAACCGAGCCCGTGCCTTGTGGCACTTACCTGACCTAAGAGGTCACTGGCTGAACTAAGACCTTAAAATCGGGTAGTACCTAATTGTTGCGTCTTATAACGGTACACAAGCTCGTTTTTTTCCGCGAGGCTCTAGCTCAATTAGAGGCGAAACGGCGAGGGAGTTGTACCAACCCTCCCCGGTCAATATAGAAAACCAATCGGTCCGGCCAGGGTTAAATACCGGAATTGTGATCTAATGTAAAAAGACGGCCCAAGGTAACCCGACGTCAGTGACAGGTGTCCTATATTTGCAGCGTCTTATACTCACGAAGGTTTCAATTTCCACTTTCTTCAGCCGAGTGATGGCTGTCAATAGCAAGGCTCTCTAAATGCAAGCCGTAATCGCCACGCAATATGTGGAAGGCTTTTGATGTCAATGCATACATAAATGCATACATAAAACGCGCTTTTCACAAAATTCATAAACTCAAGCGCATCTGTTTTTAATGACCAGTCAGCTACGCATGAATGCGTGCAGGCCACACAGTTCAGCGTAAGCCGGGCGCGGCTGCCGAGCCGAAACTGGGGCGGGGCGGGTGGTAGTTGGGTAGGAAGAGCGGCTCCTGCAAATTTTGCGCAAATATGCGCAGTTAGCTTTTATGTTGCCCTGGTGTAAATTTAAATCCTGCTTCATCTCACAAAAAATCAGAGTGGAACTAGATGGGACTACCTGTTGTTTCCTTACCTAAACTTTGCAGTTATATTCCAGAATCACTGTAGGAGAGCCTTCATAAAAAAGCTACAGTAAATCTTAGTTAGGGAAAAAGTATACCAAAAATTTTGCACTGACCAGTCGGCAACTTCATAACGAACATTTTGATGCATAATATGTGGGATTTCAATTTGGTGTCTATCAGCAATAAGACTCTGAATATCCGGCTCAAGAAACCTCCTGCTCGGCGTCAGTTTCCGAGTTCTGGGATACCCCATCTTCGGGGGCTGATTACAGTTATTTTTGGTCACCCGGATTAGTTTTTTTGGCCTAAGTATAATAATTTGATCAATTTCAAATCGATCTATATAAAAAATAATCCGAAACTCCGGAATCGCCCTTGGCCTCTCGTGAGGGCGTTTCCGACCAGTGTGCGCCGGTTCGATCGGGTTTGGGCCGGTGTTTGGGATAGCCGCACTGCGGCCACAGACTAAGCGTTCTTTAGCGAGCGGCTCCTTGACACCGTCTCGACATCGTGCCTAGCTCCTTTGTAGTGTTGCAGCAGGCGTGTTTCGCCCGAGGGGACGGGCAACCTTCGAGTACCGTTATGGTGTTGGGTCTGGGCTGTCAGCCAAGCGCCGTGCCAATGTGCAAATGGTGCACGCCGAACTACGGGCTATCGCTTTGGTGATCACCGCTCTGCGTACATTACCTAGCGCTGAAAATTCAGCATGCATCTGCTCGCAGCCACATTGGAATTCAGCCATTACGTGAGATCGCTGAAGGTATCGTCTCTCGGGAAGGTGGTCCTTGGGCGTTACATAATTACCCCCCCCCCTCCCCCGCCCTGAGCGCCTGACGTCTGTCCAACAGAGTCGGGTTTTTTCCACTCGGCCCTGGAGCCGGTTGTTACGTCATTTGCAAATGCAGAGGGACTAGGGAGACGGGACAGTCCCTGCTGCGGAGAATATTACGAGATATTTCGCGAGGTGACTGATGCTGGCTTGGAAATCGCTGGATTTTCGGTCAGCTGAATGCAGAAGGCAGATCGAGCCGGTTGTGAAGGAAGGACGTGGATTGAATGGGAACCGGTCGGAGTGTAGTGTAGTTTTAACCGGTCAGGCTGTAGCGGGGATTGAACCGGTCGGGTTCCACTGGTGTTGTGGATGGAGCCGGTCTGACGAACTGGGAAAGGTCGGGCATGAGTATCGATCGAGTCGGTTGGGTAGTACGGCGTGGCTTTAGCTGGTTCGTACTGCACGATTCTGGGAATTGGGCGTCACACGGTCGATAGGTCTGTGTTGAGTGTGGTCCGTCCCGCCGCGAGGTCATGCACTATTCCACCGAGTACCGGCTCGTGCTGGCCGAAAAGGTGGAGCAAACACTGGCGGACGAGGATAGCTGCTTTTGGTATTTCTTGCTGTTGTGACTTGTGATATTGATAATCTGTGGAATGCAGTTTCCAGTGTTCTGTAGTCTTACAATTCTATAATACAGTAAGTGTTAGAGTCACGGTTACAGTTCTGTAATAAAATTATGATCACTCGAAGTGACATATCACAGTCTGTTCAGTGCTCCGCTCGTTTGATGTGACGGGTATTTAGCTGGACACGACAGCGCCGATGTGAATACGCACCCTACGAACCCGGTCCAGTGTTGAGAGATTATGTGTTTGCCAGCACTCTGTTCTGGAGGGGGTGTGTCGTACCGTTGACTGAAGACAGACCGCTGTGATGGCCCGGACAGTGCCGGGCTGTTGACCGAGAGAGGCCTCTGCTCTGGGGGCGGGGCGGGGCAGGCTGGTGACTGAATTGAGTTATGGTATCTGCCAGATGCCCGTCCAGCACTAACAGGACTGAGTTATTGGCGCAGCGTGGTTACCAGGTGCTCGACAAGCAGGCTGTTTGTTTTGTTTTGATGTTGGAATGCTTTATGCTACCCGCCGTCAAGGATCCATGGATCTGAGGATCCATCTGCCTTGAGACCGTGCGTCTTGCCTTAGTCTTCGCCCACACGTTTCAGTGCCCCAGTTCTTTGCCGTTTGGGCTCTCTTCTTTTTCCACGCACATATAGCTGATCCAGCCTCCGTGTGGATCGAGTGGCTGATTATCTCCGTCCGTCTGACCCAGCGTTCATCTCCCTGGCCTTGGCGGCTGGCCGGTGGACGCGGAAGGATGCCGGCTCGGTTTCGGCATCATACAAGGACGGGGGCGGTGCGGCGGTGAGCCAGCCGCACCCCCGGGCTACTGACGCTGAATTAGGGTCGGCTCGGTCGGTTCAGCCGGCCACTGGTATTGATATTGGCAATTTACATTGGCCGGGTGTGTGTGGAAACAGTACCACCGGAAGGGTCTACTAGCCAAACCCGTGACTTGCGGTCGGGCTTACATCAGCTGCCGAGCCCCCGGGGCAATGCCGGCGGAAATCACCTGACCGCATTGTTTACGACTGAGGCGGGCTTTGGCCAGTTGCCGGCAATGCATTGAGGAACCGCCTGTGTCGGCTGTCGCCTACGAACATTGAAGATCGGTCGTAGGCCGTAGCTTGTTTGCTGACAGTTTAGAGTTGTATCCGACACTAACCGCAGATGTATGAGCAGTGAGCGCTTATAGCAAACGGATTTGCTGCCGACGTTCAATACCAACTCCGTATCTAGTGCGCCTTTGTTCGTGTATTTGCGGCTCCGTGTCGATCATGGTGACGTGCATGCTGAAAGGGGAGGTTGCATCACCCTGCAGTAAGCTCCATGACTCTTCATTCTGTGCAGACGGCGGGTGTTCGCTGCGATACGGTATCCCCGAGTCATTAGTCACAGCCTGCCATGAGCCCCGGCCGGTCCGACATAACCGGTCGCACAGCGGCGGCCGGTGCGGACGGGGCCGTCCCAGGCGGTCCCAGACGGGCGCCGTGCGCGCAGCCGCCGGCCGCCGTCCCTGACACGCAGCGATCGGTGCCAGGCACGCACACTCCCCCCCCCCTCCCCGTACCCACCGGCCCACGCACAAAGCGTCAGGGGAGCGGCGGCAGCGCTCTCTCGCCGGCCGGGCGCGCAGCGGCGACCCCAGGCGGGGAGCCTAGGGGGTACTGGGCGCTGTGCGTAACGCTGCGGTCTTTGACTGGAATTTCGATGAATGGTCTGGGTGATTGGAATGGTGGGAAATTGCGTGTGCCAGGAATACGAGTGAGCATTTCACTTTTCTGCATTGCTCATCTTGCGTTGATTGCTCGTAGGTAGCTATGTTGTTACAATTACCATGTAATGACAAGCTCGCTGTTCCTTGGTTTCCCGTTTCAGCACTCTGCCGTCATTTCCCCTCTATAATTACGCTTTCTGACTAATTTATGTCATGTCTCTGTTTTCAGATCTGCGACCGTGGGGGCGGCGTGTCGCGAGCCACCTCCGAGCGTCTGTTCCAGTACCTGTACTCGACGGCGCCGCGTCCTCCGCAGGACCCCAGCACTCCGCCGCTGGCAGGTGGGTCTTTGGGTTCCCGTACTGAGCACTCTGCTCCACACTGCCTACACCACCCAGCCTTACATGCACTCCCAGCAAATACATCGCCTAGCCACACTGAGAAGTGAGATGTCACCTGTAGGCTAGTAGGTATAACCTCCCTCCCTCATCCTCCATCGGGCCAACTGGTAGGTAAGTAACCTCTGACCCATCAATAGAGATCGTTACGGGCAGTCGTCTGTCGTGACTGAGCTGATTGGATGAAGCCCCCGCTCCCGAGGCTCTCAGGTCGGATCTACAGCTGTGCCGACCGATCGGGTAATGACGTGCGCTGGGCTGGCTGCGGGTCGATCGGGCGGCAGGCCGGGTCGGTCGAGTGAATCTCCGCTTCTGTTGGACCTTTGCACCGCTGACGTGGCACGGGGAGTCGAAAGGGCGTCTCTGCAGCGCAGATGTGTTCGGAGGAGCGGCAGTGGGCACGTCTCACGGCGGGGGAATGGTTTGTGTTCGAATTCCTGCACGGTCTGGAGGCTCCAATATTTCACATTTGTTTAGTAGAACGGAAAGCAGAGTGTGATTTATGTGAGCTGGCGTCCAAATTGCACGTCGGTATTGATGGATCGAGGAATACGGATGGTTCATATTTAACCAAACGAACACTTGTGCATTTTTCATTGAGTTGACACTGAATCGAGTGTGAGCGTCTTTGAACGCATCCATGCAGAAACCCGACTCGAAACGCTGTTTATTTTATCGAGCTGCATCATAATTGCTGCAAAGACACACGCCAGTGCTGCAATTTTTCATCAGCTGCATTCCTTCTCAGTACCCGCTGTTGTTTTGTTTATCACCGCTAACGAACTGAGCGGATAACCTGTCCGTTATCAGCAGGGGAGGGGCAGCATATTTACTCTAGTCACCGCGGGCGGCTCGTCACGACAAACCGGATCAAACCAGTCTACCGACCGGCCAGCGTGCCTGTTCGGTAGGACTCGCACCCCGCCGCCGCCCACCCTTACCACCCAGTGGTGGACCGAGCCGACCCCACCGCCCACCATATTAACCACACGGTACAAACAGGGCTGCACTTTGCACCGCGACGGGCAGACAACCGCCCGGCAGTTGTGATAACTGGTCAGATGATTTAACGGGAGGTGTGTATGTGTATGTTTGACTTTCGCCCTGTCGAGGAAGAGTCGCAGCGTAGTTCAAGGCTGGGCGGGTCAAAGGGCGCTGTGCTGTGGTATTCATCACTGATAAAACATGCTAGTAGTTGACACTGAATAAATGCGCATCAGTTTTGATTGGTTTGATTATATGTATCAGTTCGGCACACTGCTGTGGTGTCACTTAGTTCGACATCATGATTGATATGAATCGTCATCGTTTATTTCTCAATTGTCCCGCCTGATTATCATACTATCCGTGTATCTCCATAGTCTCGCCATTCTCGCGATTTTAGCATATCGCACCATCTGTTCCGCCGCCAGGTTACGGATACGGGCTGCCTCTCTCCCGGCTGTACGCGCGCTACTTTCAGGGCGACCTGGTCATCAACTCGTGCGAGGGCTACGGCACGGACGCCACCATCTTCCTCAAGGTACGAGACGCCGCAGCTGCCCTTCAGGTCGACCTCTAACCGGTGACAGCCAGTGTGCAGAGATGATGATGATGACATGAACAGTTTTCTAGCTTCTGGCATGGGCTATGGTGACTTGCATGTTACCGGTTTTTCTCCGACTTCTCATCCTGCTAGGCAGGTTTTTGAAACGTATTGCGTAGTTACGAAGAACTTCATAGGGCGTCTTTTCCACTGGATGCTGGAGTTGTCTTACGTAATGTCGAGTAATGTTTGGCACGGGTGACTGATTGGTATTCACACCGGGCATATCTCGCTGATCGCATCCCCCGACTGTGTTCGACAGGCCCTGGCGCAGGACATGAAGGAGGTGCTGCCGCTGTACAACCGGGCAGCGCAGCAGCACTACCAGAACGGCTCCCAGGCGCCTGACTGGTCCTCCGTGCTGGGGTCCTCCGGAGCGCGACCCCGCTCGACCCCCACCGACAGCCCTCCGAAACCGGCCTCTTCCACCGCGCGGAAACCCAGCCGGCCGGCCTCCGCCGCCGTCAGCAGTCTGAGGAACATCAGCACGGGCAGCGCCGCCTCCGGTCAGGGCCAGAAGGCGGCGTAGCCTCGCGGCTGTCCGGCTGGGTCGGGAGATCCCTGCAGCGTCGGGCTCCGGTCGGTTGAGCAGATGTCGCGGAGAGGCGACTGTGGCGCCGCGGTGACTGAAGCGTCACCTGGATTAGAGCATCCTCCGCTCTTCTTTGACTCGCCGGCGATCAGTGAACTGAAATACTGTGTAATTGTCTGTCTGTTGTCTGAACGATCAGCTAATGGCTGAGGACACTTGGTCTTGGAGTGGTGGAACACAGAAACGGGTCTCTGCGAGTGTGCTTTGTTTGAGCTGTGTGTCATTGGTGTCGTTTGTACTTAGACATGACCGGTCGCCGCTCGTGTGTCGTGTCCATTGTCTGCAGTGAGGTGCGATGGTCGGAATAAGGGAGGGGCGGGGGTCCAGTGCATGGACAGAGTGGTTGGGACGCTCCTAGGCAGAGATCCTATGGGATTGTCCCTTGGTCGTCTCAGGGAGCTCGTATCAGCGGGAGCGGGCCGAAATCTGGCTGTTTGTAAACAATGCAGTGACATGTGACGGTAGCCCGTCGCAAGTACGGTTAGGCGTGTTCTTGTGATGAGCGGAGGCTTTGTATGGAAATACTGGGCAAGGTTTTAAGCCGTTTGTTTAGCTTTTGGTAATGCTTCGTGGATCGAAGCTCAACGCCTTTTAGTTGTGTATTTCGGTCGCTGCCTTTCTTATGCAGGAGTGTATTTACCAATTATGTATGTAAATTGGTTATCGTACAGCTCCGTTCAGCATCAACGTGAGATCCGCCGGACTAGCTGGTGCATCTGCGTTTCGTAGGTCGCCTATCCGTGTCCCAACCTTCTGTAATCGACCCTTGCCGCGATGTTTCCTGTGTTCAGAGCTTTCCATGAATAACCTCGATATTTTTTCACTTTTCTACCATGCCTAGCCTTGAAATTTCAAACATGACATTCGCGATCGGTGTCTTCAAGCATACCATCCAATGACTTGCTCGTTGGGGTATGGTATTTGTCGAGTGCCCACGGGCTTTTATTGCATCGATGCGAATATATTTATTTGCCGGTGTTTTACTTTGTTTGTTTGCCGTTACATCAACACGTTGCACATTGCGCCGCTGCATGTGCTACGCTGCCCCGAATCTTTGTGACTGCGGACACCAGTCTGGATATATCAGATCTTTGTATCTTTTTAAATGTTCAGCGACTTGAAGGATTCCGGAACGGACTATGTGAAGCGAAACGAGATGACTGTAATCGCGACGCCCCGTGTGGATTGTACATGATGGTAATACATCCGTACAAACGTACATACATGATTACATAATTGTGCAGAAAAGCTAGTTTATGAGCTATTCACAATGCTATTTTACATTTAATGGCATTTTAACTCACCAAGAGATGCGAAAAACAATGAAAAAGTGAACCACTAAAATTACTTGCGTGACCCGGCGTGCAGGGGTGTCGTTTTCCGAAAATGATTGGTAGGGCCCAAAGGCGGCGGCCGGCCACATGTGGCGGGGCTTAAAAGGTAGGGTACCCCCAAATCTGCCTTTCTCATCGGATTTCGGCCACTTATTTTTTCGCCCTGGTCATTGACAAGACAAACCAAAATCTAAAAAAAAAAAACATTTTGGAAGTCTAGGTCCTCAACGAGCTCCATGCACAAAACGTGCAGTTAAATAGGCAGTTATAATAGTGTCGGAGGAATGCACGCCATTCTGAAAGAGGCCCACGCCGACTTAAAAGCACGGCTGTGCTGAAAGGGGCCAGGGACGGTTTTGATGGCCCAAGCCGAATGAAAAAGACGGCTACGGGGCCAGGAACGGCTTTGAAGGCCCACGCCAATCGCAGGGTACGACAACTAACGAGGTCTCGAAACACCACGATAGTTAGAAAGACCTGCTTGCCAAAATAAAAGGATGACGGTACAAGCCGGCATTCAGAAAGTTACATGCCCGACCATGAAGAAGCAGAGAGATACGTCATCGACTTATCAGACAAAAAAGTTCATTTATTCAAATAACCACCGCTAAGACAAACACATTTCGCGCAGCGCTTCGGCCTTCGGGAGAGCCCTCAAAAGTCTCCATAATCAATTGGGTTTTGGACCCATCCCACGTCCAAGACGGCTGCTTTAGTCTCCCTGCAGTCAGCGAAGCTGCCACTGCTAATTTCCTTATGTTGGGGAAGAGGTGGCGGGCGCAAAATGACCACCGCAGTCGACGCGCCCGTAAACCCCAATGAACGAACGAAGCCAGAGGGTGCAGGGTTCGGAAAAAAGTGGATGCGACAACAACTCGAAGCCACATTTCATCACTTAACTTATCGTCACCCCGCGCAAGTACGCAGGTGCGTGGCCGTGGATCAATTGCACACTTTATGTCAGCTTCCCTATAGCCTCTCCTCGATGTCTATCGAAGTCACGCACATCATCAATTGTGCGCCCCTGTTTTAGAAAATTGACAAGCAGAGCCCCGTCGGCATACCGAAATGTAACCACTATCACTTTGCCGACTAACTTCAACTCGTACCACTCATTTGGTGGCCGTTACTCGGTGTGCACTGTGCTTCCACTTGCGCAACTCGGCACGGTGTCCCTTAGTGTCAACGTGTGACGCCCACAATTTCTTTACGGTGACAAGTCAATGATATCTTCTAGATATTCGATAAGGGGCCAAACACCCCGCTAAGCCTCCTTTCGAGCTTGCCTTTTCTCTGCAGTGTCAGCAAACGGGGGATACATCTTGCAGAGATCTTAAACATAGCATGATAGATTCCAGTGGCGTAGCCAAGTGGGGGGGGGGCACAGGGGGCGCGTGCCCCTCCCATCGGGTCCAGGGGGCCCTTCGGGTCCCTGCGGCGCCAATCGGCCGCTGAGGGTCCACGCTGGCCATATTTCGTCTCAAAGGGACCCCACAGGGCTCGTCAGAGCATCTCATGGGCCCCTAAGTGGCGTATTAAGATCTTCGTAAGTGCCCCACGCCGGCTTCTTAGAGCCCTTGTCACCAGTTAAGGCCCTAAGAGGCCGCCAAGGGCCCCTTACCAGCCTGCCCCTCACGGTCTCTGAGAATCTCTTGCTGGCCTCTGAGGGCCCATTGGTGGCCTTGGCTCTGAGGGCGCATTGGTGGCCTCGGCTCTGAGGGCCTATTGGTGGCCTCTGAGGGCCCTTACCGGCCTATTAGGAGCCGGCTCTACGAGCTGCATGCCCGCCTGTGATGGTCCAACACCAATTCTCTTAGGGCCCCAATAACTGTGAGGAGTGCCTCTGATAGCCCACACCGGCGTTTCTGAGAGCCCACGCCGGCGTTTCTGAGGCCCCTTCTCCCCCAGTTCTGAGGGTCTTCATCAGAGGCTCCTAAGGCCCTACACCAGCGGCTCTGACGGCTCCACTGAGTCCACACTGGTGACTCTGAGGGTCCCAGTGGCGTCTGAGAATACTATTCCGGTCTAAAGGGACCCCCTCGGCGCTCCTAAAGGCACCACCGACCTCTGAGGTCCCCTTGTCGTCCTATGAAGGGCCCGCACCAGCACTCAGCTCAGCAGCTCTAAGGGTCCCACGCATATATGTGATGGCCATAAACCAGTGTATCTGAGGGCCCCGAAACGGCGCTTAAAGGGAGATTATGACTAGAGTTGCAAAGTTTCCCCCAAAGGCTGCTACCGGCACCGCCCCGCCCCACAAATTTTTTCGGGGATACCGGCATGCTACCACGCCCAAAGCAAAAACACCACCAAATTACCGACATGCCCTGGCATGCCGGTAATTTGGAATCAACCTGCATTGTTGATTCCAGTTTACCCCTACAAGAGATGCCACATTTTCCTCTTAGTGTCCAAAGTTTGAATCATATGCTAATAATTTTTTTTTGTGCAAAACCAAAAATACCGGCATGCTACCGGCAAGACATGCCAGATACCACAAAAAACCTGCGGTAGTGAAAAATTACCGGCATGCCGGTAATGCGGTAGGGAAACTTTGCAACTCTAATTATGACCTTTTTCCACAAAATCTGAGTTAGGACCATTTTCTGACAAAACACAACAAGTTATAATGTAAATTAAAACCATTTTGCTCAATTCGGTACCTTGCCGCAAATATCTCAACTTGAAGTCACGTTAGCGGGGAGCGCTGAAAATGACCGTTGAATAAGTACTTACATCACTTTTTGGTACTTGCATGTAATTTTTTAAAATGAGCGTATTCATTACATTTGATCTTCATCACATCTAGTTAGTTAATGGTCGTCTATAGTGCCTTCAAAAGATATTCATGGTTTGGGGGTGGTTTATGTCTAAATTTACGCAACTATTTTTCCTGTTCATCATCTGTCGCCATATGCTGCTATTTTAGTAGCAACGACTCAATTTTGAATCGGTCCCGCCGACTGCACAATAAAAGAAGATAGATACAACACTTTTGCGGCATCACTGAAAAACCTATGCAGTACTGTTATCAAAATTCTCATAACACCGTTCGACAAACCTGAAGTCTTTTTGAAATAAATATGCTTGTATTTTTCGCTTCAGGCTCTGAGGCCAAAATAATGAATTTCGTAGTCGCAATCGCAAGATTTGGCTGCGTTTCTGGCGCTTGCCGTTCATTTGTGGCGCAAAATAATACTTGGAAACAAAGAAGAGTAGGCACTATGTACCCCCGAATTAGAATCTAATTAATTCTAAACCGAATTAACTCTAATTCAAATTAGAATCCTTACAACCAAGCAACGACAAGGCGATAACAAACAAAAACCCAAGCGTCGCTGTTTGAAACAAAAGCGTCATATACTGCGACTTTTTTATAGAGAAGGACAACGCATTTCGGCGGGTGTTACAAGTACTGCAAGTACTGCTTCTTTTTTGCAAAAATAAAAACCTTTTCACATACGACAATGTGCTAGGAAATTTTCATATTTTATAGAAACTACAGTAGAAATAGTATAGATGTCGAGTAATTTTTATTTAAGAAAAAAGAAAGCTCATTATCTCCCTTTAAGAGGGCCCTCACCGGCGACTGTGCAGGTCCCACTCCGGCGCCTCTGAAAGCCCCACACATATGCATCTGACGGACACCCACCAGTGACTTTTGCGTGGCCCACACCGGCAATTCTGAGGATCCCACCGGAGTCTGAGAGTACCGTGCCGTTCTCTAAGGACCCCACTGAACTTCTGAAGGTGCTGCCGGCCTCTGAAGACCCTTTGCCGGCCTGAGGAGTGAGGACACCTTGCCGTTCCCTAAGAATCCCCTGCCGGCTTGCGAAGGGTTCGCGACAGCAGCTCCTACGGCCCACAGGCCACACACATCTGTGACGAATGTACATATATGCTTATTTGCTTATCTGTTTATTTTGATTTTTTTACCAAGTGACAAAAGATTGGTAGAGCTCAGCGAACACTGGTAGGGCCCAAATAAACATTGGTAGGGCTCGGGCCCTACCAGGCCTATACAAAACGACGCCCCTGCCGGCGTGACCCCTTCTCCCCTTCCCATTTGCGGTCATGTTTTGAGCTCAACAATAATAAATTAGTGGACATGGCTATTGTGGATTTGGTACAAAAACTGCGCAGCTGTGACATTCGGAAAACTGAGGAGTGAGGACCACGCACGCCGAGATATTCTATTTTGATTTAGGTCTTTTCTATCCATTATTCACAAAGCACCAAAGGGCTAAGGATTCACTGGCGGATCCAGGGGGGGGCCACGGGGGCCATGGCCCCCCCCAAAGGCCTAAAGTGGCCTGTTTGGCCCCCCCCAAAACGTCAGAAAATTTCTAAGAAAATATACCTTGATGGAGGTTTTTAGCCACTTGGTGAAGTAAAGTTTCCACAGCATAATATGGAAGCAATATGGTAGCAGTGAGGGTCAGTCAAAAGTTGCGCGAGCGGAGTCGACCTTCAAAAAGACTGTTGTTGGCACGTGTTTATGGCGCGGCAGCTGGTAGTTGGCGGTGTTTCGCGTGGTGTGGCATCACTGGCGGATCCGGGGGGGGGGGGGGGGTAGCACGGGAGCCTGAGGTGCCCCTGACAGGCCCGTGGTGCCCTTGCTAGGCCTGTGGTGCCCCTGGACCCTGGCAGGCCTGTGGAGCCTCTGGCGGGCCTAGGGTGCCCCTGCTAGGCTGCTGATGCCCCTGGGACCTGACAGGACTGTGGTGCCCCTGACAAGCCTTAAGTGCCCCCAACAGGCCCGTGATGCCCCCGACAGGCCCAAGGTGCCCCTGCGGCCTGCGTGATGCCGTGATGCCTGCGAGGCCGGTGGTGCCCCTGCGAGGCCGGTGGTGCCACTGCGAGGCCGGTGGGGCCCCTGACAAGCCCATGGTGCCCCTGCGAGGCCGGTGGTGCCCCTGCTAGACCGGTGGTACCCCTGGCAGGCCTGTGGTGCCCCTGCTAGGCCGCTGGTGCCCCTGGGCCCTGACAGGACTGTGATGCCCCTGACAGGCCCAAGGTGCCCCTGTAAGGCCGGTGGTGCCCCTGTAAGGCCTGTGGTATCCCTACTAGGTCTCTGGTGCCCCTTTGACAGGCCCATGGTGCCCCTGCGAGGCCGGCGGCGCCCCTGGCAGGTCTCTGGTGTCCCTGACAGACCTGGGGTGCCCCTGACAAGCCTGTGGGGCCCCTCACAGGCCCGTGGTGCCCTTGCTACTTGCTAGGCCTGTGGTGCCCCTGGCGGGCTGGTGGTGCCCCTGCTAGGCCGGTGGTGCCCCTGACACGCCTGTGGTGCCTCCGGGCACCAAGGGGGGTCATGACCCATGTGGCCCCCCTTGGATCTGCCACTGATACATAATATATTGATTTGTAAAGGCGTTATGGCTTATGCAATATGCAATTGCAGGCACTTGGTATGCCTCACTTATCCCTTATTGGGGGCTCTGGCGGGCTCCTGAGGGCCCACGTCTATCTCCGGGAGCCCTTGACAGGCTCCTTTGGGTCCTTTCAGTCCACTATAGCATAAGAGGTCTCCATGCGAGTCCTATACATCTGAGGGCGTACCCTGACGTCTGAGGTACCCAACTGCAGCTCCAATGGTCTCTTACACTGGCGGATCCAGGGAGGGGGCATTTAGGGCCATGCCACCTTCCCAGAGGTCTAAAGTGGCCCGTTTGCCCCCTCCCACAAACGGTACCTAATGAAACATAGTTCAATCAGTGCGTGGCCTAGGAGCCGAGTTAGACAGGGGGTGTTTTACCACCTCCCGGCCCGCAAAGGGACCCAAGCACTGACTCGAAGCGGGTTAACTGGTCGACAAAAGCAATGGTAAGTGCTTACAAAGTAATATAAAGGCATGGGTCGGGTGGGCTACCATTTATATATTTTTCTTTCTAGTTAAAAAAAAAAATCATAGTGTCGGGGCTGTGACGAAAAATAAGTGGCCTAAATCCGATGAGAAAACAGGATTTGGGGGTACCCTAGGTTTGGCTCCAGCATGAGTTGGCCCCCCCCAAAACGCAAGCCTGGATCCGCCAGTGTAAGGATTCAGCTTATTGCAAAATTGGCCAAGGAAAGGAAGCAACCAAGTTGTAAGTAGCTACCTACATAATGGTATAGCAATAGCCCTCAAAGGTAGTATCTATGACCGTGCTCAAAGGTCTCAGATATTTTCGGTCGCTTAGTTAGGTACCTAGCTAACGAAAATCTGAATCGTATTTCAATTTATATTGATATAGGTACCCACACGATTTTCACCCACACTACATATTGAGTGTCCAATAAGTTTAGTACCTAGCTGTGGGAGGCCAGAGCTCAGCTAATCACTCAGCTAATTGGTCTGTTAATCACTGAGCTGGAGTGATTAACAGACCAAAGTATGCTGGTGATTGGTAAATTGACTGATCCAGTGTGCTTATTTTGGTAGTCATTCATGAGAGGTGCCCTTCAGTCGGGCGCACTATGGTATCGGCACTCCATTTATAGAAACGTTTCCATTTTTGGAAGAAAGTTCCAAAAATGGAAACGCTAAAAACCAACTGTTCCAAAAATGGAAACGCTCCGTTTCTATTTTCGGAAACGCAAGGAGCACATAAACCTGTTCGGTAGTTTCCGCAACAAACCATAGAATTCCGCATCAAACAAAGGCCACCAATCAAAAGACCGCATTTCGCTTCATAATTCCAATGTTGAACAGAAAAATCGGCTGTTGAACAGGCTTGCACAGTCCACTTCTTTTTGTAAACAATAGAATTTTTCATGATAGGTGAACTTTTATGTGTCATTAATGAAATATACCTCATTTTTTTGTGGAAAAATTTGATTTTCACAAGAATGGCAATTTTTTAATTGACAGACTTGCTGTCTGGTATTCATATTGCTGTAAAGCAAGCCCTGAAATGGCGTGTTGGTGACCACGTGCTCTAGTCACGGAAATCGTCTCTCCGGCTTTGGAAGGCGGTAAGTTGGAAAATGTTTTATACAGATGCTTCTAAGTGGGCAAACTGAACTTCTTAACACCTATTTAACTTACGAATGTGTGAATGTTGGTAGAATGTATGTAAATAATTGCATTAAAGGTCTGATATGTTACAGCTTGTCTGAAGCGATCCAAGCTGTCATCCAGTTTTAAACGATTCAGTTATAAGAAAAAGCGATGACAAGGTGTTATAAATAATTTCTATGGATAGGGAAATGCTCAAACTGCACTAATTGCCCACTTTGCACCGTATTAGTTCAGTAGGCCTTCAGTTTGTGCCTGTTTAAGGCCCATTGAAGAATGCTTAATCAGTCGGGCGCACTGTGGTATCTCCGATTCATTTATGGAGACGTTTCTATTATTGGAAACGTTTCCAATTTTGACTACTCTTCTGTTCCAAAAATGGAAACGCTCGTTCCATAAATAGAAACGCTAACATCTCCGCACATATTTTCTTGCCAAAGGTGGCTGGATTCGACGTATAACAACTGTTTCGCGTAAAACAAGCTCAGATACACCAAAAGCACTTGTCTTCTTGCATGGAAAGCTGTCGTATGCATTAAAATTCACGTCTTTAAAATGCTCCTGAATCGTATCCATTCATGGAGACTTAGTTTCCAAAAATGGAAACGCCGATGTTCCAAAAATAGAAACGCTGAAGTTCAAATGTGTGCAAACTTAGCTTAAATGTGTTTTTAAAATTCACATGCAACTAAAAATTTGATGTTTTGGGACTGGTTTAGCATCTCGGCTCTCGGCAGTTACCTTGGACGTCGGGTTCGATAATAATACCTTACGCGCCGCAACTTGAGCACATTCAAAAGTCAACTAAAACTAAGATTTCCCAGAAACTACTGGACAGATGTGGTCCAAAGTGGGCAATACATAAAGCGTAGATATCATTTCAATATATAAAATTAATATCAATGTTACACATGAGCTAGAATGAATAAATTCATCGTCAGAATACAACGGTATTTGGTGTGACGACGGTGCAGACCTTATTTCCATCCTGCTTTTTACGTATTTGCACGGAGATTTACGTTTATCCGAGCCTAGGATCATATTCAGCACATTTGAAATATCATAAAATGCCCACTTAAGTCTCCAAATAGGGCTTTGCAACAACTTTCATGCGATTTAATCAAAGATTGACGACCACCAGGCCGCTGGTACACCGGAAAACGCAGCGTGAAAATGAATGAAAAACTGAACTTCCCGGTGATGTGGTTGTTCCAATCAATGGGTCAGTCTTTCAGTAGTCTGTTAAAAACGTTATTTTTTGTTCAAAACATTTATAAATGTTATTATTTTCGATTAGAAAAACGTGTTAATTTTTTAACACGTCAACATGTTATAAGCATCGCCTCGTTCGTCAACTTTCGGTTTTCTGATCGGAAAATCGGAGAACAGGAACATAAACTAGAATGCTGGCTGTCGATTGGTGGCATCCTGCGCATGCCAAATTGCACCAATCAATGCCCAGTTTGATTTAAAGGTAGCGATGCACACAGCGTCTCCATTTATGGAACAGATCGTTTCTATTTTTGGAAACGGCGTATCCATTTTTGGAACATTGTTCCAAAAATGGAAACGTTTCCATAAATGGATCGGAAATACCACAGTGTGCCCGACTGTAATGAAGCACAGTTTCCATTTTTGGAACAAATGACAAATTTTAACTCAAGCTCTACATACAGCTCACAGATGCAGTAGGTAGGTTATATGAATTTCAACTCTTATTTGCATTTAATTTTTTTAGAAGCACTTTATGCCTTCCTTATTTCTAATAATCCACTCGAATGTTGGAAAAGGTGCACGATCTGACAGCATGGAAATGCGAACTGGAGCTTCTGAACCGGCCTGATAAGGCCGAACTTAACTCCAACCCTACTTATAAAGCCTTGCTTTTCTTGGGAAGCCAGTCTGTTGACTACAATTCAGGGCACATCACTTACTGCAGTCACGCATGCATGCTTGCAACAGTTAAAATATGTTATAATGTGGGCTTCGTTAGCAGTTGCAGCTTAGTAGGCAAGACGGCTGGACAGTTCTGGGGTTTATGTAGGTGCCTAGAAATTGGGGACTTTCCCCAGAAGACACATTTTCGTAAGCATTATTGTACACTCGGGGGCAGATTGATGTTCCACCACTCCCTACCCATTGGGCTCCCATGGATCAGCAGTGGCTGCTGCCAGTGTTGCCTGCCCTCAGCACTGCTCAGCACTGCCTGCCAATGCCAGTGCTGCCAGTCCTGCCACTGCTGACAGCAGCCAGTGCTGAGCCATGGGAGCCCGATGGGTAGGGAGTGGTGGAACATCAATCTGCCCCCGAGTGTACCAACATCGGCTTTCGAGCACTATGCCCAAGCAATTGGAGGACCATTCATACGAAATTTAGATGCGAAGGGAAACCACACATATCGGAACATGTACTGGCATCAATAGCTCGGCCATTGCTTAGCCGGTGTGGGGTAGACAGGCCCACATATGATACTTATGCCTTTTCCTGTGTTGGCACAGTTTCCATTTTTGGAACCTTCCGTTTCCAAAAATGGAACGTTGACAAGGGTTTGCATCAGGGCATCAGATTCGCCATTTGCGTACGAAAATATTGTTGGATTTTACTGTTTTGGGAGAAAACATATCGACGAAAAGACACGCCAGCTGAAAAGATGACGATTAACTTTAGAAATACAGAAATATACCTGCTTAAAAATTGGCGTTTCTAATTTTGGAACTAGCGTTTCCATAAATGGAACGAAGTGCCTTCCAAATTTGGAAATGTTTCCTTTAATGGATACGTATCCATAAATGGACTGCCGATACCATAGTGCGCCCGACTGCCTTGGGGCTCGTAGCAGCCTGTGTGTCACTGAATTACCAAAAAAGGAATAATAGAAATTGAAAGATGAATTGTCTACAGAACCTTATAATTCACAAGCTACAGGAATGTGAAATATTATTATTACAAAGTGCCACAATTTGTGTGCGATCTCCAGATTTATGCCCCCAGGCCACGTGCCCTGAACGGCCACCCTTATTTTACACAAATAGGTACCTACCTTGTAGCTCTGAGATCGATTGGTTACCATTGTTTGTCCATCTCCCTGAAACTTGACTGTGGGTATGCGGGGTAAGAGCGTATAGGAAACAGCACCGTCTCATAAGCTGGTAGATCTTGAAGAATGCCTACATCTCAATCTGTTGTTTTTCATTAAATGATTAAAAGGTAGATGCTGCTGCAGGCACTTCTTTGTACAGGCTGAGGTGGTAGGGGCTACATAGGTCAAGGGGTACCTAGGTATTAGGTAGGTTTTAAGCAGTTCTCAGTAAGTGTTGGGTTGGCACTAGGCAGAATTTGATTGTGTTTTTTTTAGATTTTGTATTTTAGTGAGCTAGGTGAGCTAGCAGTGGCTGCCTCACCATTGGCTCTTTGATCCCTCATTAGCCATTTTTAACAACTCCCCCTCTGCCTCTGGCCCTCTGCAGTAACCAGCCACCGATCCAGCGATGGCACAGCTCCTGAACCGTATCGGCCAACTGGGCGTCGGCCTGGCCATCACTGGTGGCGTCATCAACTCGGCCCTCTATAACGTGGACGCCGGACACCGGGCCGTCATCTTCGACCGCTTCGCCGGCGTCAAGAACGCGGTGGTCGGCGAGGGCACCCACTTCTTCATCCCGTGGGTGCAGCGGCCCATCATGTTCGACATCCGCGCGCGGCCGCGGAACGTGCCCGTGGTGACGGGCAGCAAGGACCTGCAGAACGTCAGCATCACTCTGCGCGTGCTGTTCCGACCGGTGGCCACGGCACTGCCCAACATCTACACCACGCTCGGACAGGACTACGACGAGCGCGTGCTGCCCTCCATCACCAACGAGGTGCTGAAGGCGGTGGTGGCCCGCTACGACGCCAGCGAGATGATCACGCAGCGCGAGGTGGTCTCGCAGACGGTCTCCGAGGAGCTGACGGAGCGCGCGCGTCAGTTCGGCCTGCTGCTGGACGACATCTCGATCACGCACCTGACGTTCGGCCGCGAGTTCACGCAGGCTGTCGAGATGAAGCAGGTGGCGCAACAGGAGGCAGAGAAGGCCCGATTCGTGGTGGAGAAGGTACGTCACGCGGGCGGGATAGTCTGTGTGGGATGTATTGCTTGGAATGGGCTGGAATGGGCGTGCGCAGTGCATCATAGCATGGTTGGGTCTAGTGAGTGTAACATTCAATGATAAATAGTCTGTCCACTGTGTTTGCTGACATAATGTTTTGAATGTGTGTATCTGCTTGAAGTGCCACATAGTTTCAAGATAATGTAAACTCAAATTTCGATGGTTAGGTATCTTAGAAGTCTGGTAGTTGGTACGGACCTGTATGTCCCCTACCTCTCATCCGGCATTTCTCCATGCCACTGCCGCGATCTGTCTCGCTCACCACTGACCGGTCCCCCTTCACGCGCTGTGCACAGGCGGAGCAGCAGAAGCGGGCGGCCATCACCTCGGCCGAGGGAGACAAGGTGGCCGCCGAGCTGCTCTCGGCCGCGTTCGCGCGCGCCGGTAACGGTCTGATCGAGCTGCGACGGATCGAAGCGGCCGAGGACATCGCCTACCAGATGTCTCAGAGCCGGAACGTGGTGTACCTGCCGCAGAACCAGACCACGCTGCTCAACCTGGGCGCCGTCTGAGGTGGGCGCTGACGGGGGAGAGGGAGGGGAGACAACAGGATGGGGCGGGCCAAGGATGGATGTTGCTAGCCTGAGAGGGATCTGACGATAGGTTGGTGCGTTCATCGGCGCGCCGGTTGGGGGATGAGGTCCAACAGAAGGCCAGGGACCGGTATAGCGACTGGTGGAGACTCCGCGGCTGTCTGCTGTCCGTTGTGACGAGACTCCGTCGGCTGTCCGCTGTCCTGTCTGACGACTCCGCCGGACGCCGCCAATTGTCCGAGCTGTCCGAGGCCGTCTTTTGTTCGACGTGACGGTGACTTCCTGCCTGCCGGGGTCGTCAATAGGGATTCCTTCTCAGAGATGTTCGTACCACGGTGCTGAAGACCATGCTGTTGGATATGTGATTAGTTCTGATATCGTGTCGTGCGCGGCTCTTGTCATCAGGATTGTCCTATTAATGTTCCACTGATGCAATACAAGCCTAGAGTGATTATAGCAGATGTGTTGGATAGCAATTAAAGTACCTGAAAGTTGGGTGGAATCGGTGGGAGAAATTGCTATCCTTGGGTGCCGTCCTTCGGTCTCTGTTCCTCTCGTATCGAGCTACCAAATGACGACGAACTCCTATTTTTTATCCCGTTCTGCCGTCTGTGGGTCTGCCGTCTGAACCTCGCTTCTGGAGAGTGGGGAGTAGGTGGTTTTTGTTCTCCCCTGGCATCCTGAAGACCATGTCAGAATCTGATATCCTTGGTTGTCTTTTGTCAGACTGCACACTTTCATGTATGGTTTCCTGAAGTGGTCAGTGTTGTGAATGTTGAGTTCCTAAACATTTTGTAGATTTTGGTTGATTATGTTTTCACAAAAATATGCTAGTCGTTATGAAGTGCATTCCTTTCCAGTCTACCTTGAGTTTCCTTCTAACAATTGCACTTTCTGACCTGGAGACCAGCACAATCAAACGCCATTTCCGAAGATAGCTGTATTTCGTAACGACACCATCTTACAAACACTGTTATTTCCAAACTGAGAAAGCCATGCAGGTTTAGGGCCGGCCGTCGCCCGCGCTGGGCGCTCCGGCCGGGCTGCCGATGCCACTCGGCTCGGACCCACGGTAACGGTTCCACTCCGTCCAAACTCGGCGAGCGTTCCTGACTAGTCGCCCACCCCTCCGCCAGTCGCCTCCGTCCCTCTCCATCCAGTCTATCCATCTGACGGCTCACTAACACTGCCTCTGCGGGGAGTTGTCACGGAGAGTTGAGCCGGTGGAGCTCAGCGGGCGGCCTCCGTCACTGCTCGCGGCGACGTCGGACCGAGTGGGCCGCGGCGAACCCGGCTACGTAGCCAGTTACTGCGGAGCGCACGGGACAGGCTGTCAGCTGGCGTGACCGGGAGGGTAGCTACAAACACAGGCGGGGCAGGACGGGGCTGTGGGCGGCATATGGTCGGTCGAACTCTTAGTGACGTGTTCACCGTTCAACGCACGGAGAGGTAATGAATGAGTCCATATATTTCAATACACTGCGCTTGTTTAACGTCACCTCTGATGCTTATACAAAGTTACGTAATATGCAGGAATAGTTTAAACGTGGGGAGGAAAAAAACGTTATTAGGTTCAGGCGATAGAGCACATTTATTGATAGTTGCTTAACCCGCACCGTGTTCCACGGGTCTTTTTTACGCCCTCTTCCCCTTGATTTTCACGATATACGGTCAGAAATGGTAATACACATACACTCCGCAGTTTTCTACACATCATGTATGATTTATGCATGAGGCGTGAAACATATGCCCCGGATAATCAAGGTATGTGACCAACTTACGTGATCACGCCTTTGGAAAATTAGTAAACGCGCGCATATGCCCCATTAAAGATGGGTACTTTCCATTTATTGGGCGACAAGTGGGAAAACCGATAAGCTTCGATTGACACTTTGATACGTGGAAGCATCATCAATAATCATTTTATTCGTGGAAGCATCTTCAGCCTAACGTCGCCTCGTCGAAGGAACTGACGTAATATGCATTTTGAGTTCTTTAGGGGCAGGGCTTTAATGAGATTCCCAGTGAAATTTTGACATAAAGCGTCCAGTTGTTGTTGTTGTTGTTGTTGTTGTTGTTGTTGTTTTTTGTCCAGTGGCACGGTGCGGGTTAACGCGCGCTTTGAGTGTCAGCTGAGCAAGGTGACATCGAATGCAGACTTCAAGCGATAAAGCAATTAATTTAAAAAGCTACCACGTATGGTAGTGATAAGAACGATCCTATTCCACTGGCTAAGAACTATACCTATGTGAGCTAATTAGATAATTCAAGTGGGATTTGTCCTATTCCGAGCAATGGGTTCTACTCGTCACATAATTTCTAGACGTGCGTGGGTGACAGAATAAAGTGAAAGAAGAAAAGGGAAAGAAAACTAAGAAGAGGGAAAAGTTGTGTCTATATTCGAGAAATAGATATGCCAGCAAGGTACCGGGAGATATAGCATTTGCAATTATATCCAGTTATTTAAAGTTATGATAAATTATCACCGCCCTTTTCTCGTTCTCTTGATAGTTAAAGTCTCGAAAAAGTTACCTGAAGAACGGTTAGGATAAGAAATCAGCTTCACTTCATCAACTGCGAGATATTCGATATTTCCTGAAAAGGTACATACATGAATGGAGTGCAGAAATGATAGTTGATTATGCTTAATCAGCGCTTTTAATCGCACATTATGAAATGTCTGTTAGTGGAGGGGCCCAACCAGCACAGCGCATTCCCGTCAACGGGTACATGGTACAAAGTCTACTATCTATCCTCTTGTCATGATGACATACAACGCTAAACTACTTGCCAGTGATTTCATTTTCTAAGTAAAAGAAATCGAAGAAGATTTTAGGCGATGGTGGCGTAGTTTTGGCGGCACGCGACACGACATTGCACAGACGTAGGCTGGGCGGCGGCAGCGCGGGCGGCCTGGTGGGGCCAGGTGGCACCGACCTGCCGCCCGCCGCCCCGACACACACGGGGGCCAGTCACAAACCAACTCCGGCCCGCCGGCCGCCGGTCGGCCGGGCCGCATGCACCAGCGCGCTTACTTTTCCTTAGAAGATGAAATCAACCAGCAAATATAGGGCAATGCCCACTACGCAGGCCACTTCAAGCGCCTGAAATTACAACGGAATTCCTAGCTGAGGCGGCGCTTTGGGTATGAGAGAGTCAGTGCCGCACTACACTGGCTTGCTGGAACGCAGGTGGCACCGTCATCACTGTTCACTATAGAGGTCGTGGCATCCTAAGGTTCTGGCTAGAACGTGAGGCTGCACCGTCGTCTGTGATTGGTACAGGCTCCGGCAAGGCGCGCGAACAATGACAACAAACTGGCTCTTGTGTGCTTCATACATCAGCTTAGCTTGATCCCAAAAGGGGAGGTATTCGTAATCCAGATTTGAAATTAAATAGCGTCTTGTGAGCTCCAACACCCGAAATGACATTTTTTTGTAGACAGTTTGTTGTCATGATCCACTCGTATGCCAGGAATGGTGGGAATCGATCAATACTGTGCACATGTCGACTGTAATACGATACACAGTGGGTGGCGCTGGGCCACCGGGTCCGATGTGGTGCCTACATCGGTTTCCTGGTCTTACGTCGTCGGAAGGTCGGCGCCGGACCGCGCGCTCGGCCGGCGCGCCGTCCTCCGAGCCGGACCCCTCCGACTCCTCCGAGGACTCCTCCTCGGCCGACTCCGACTCCGACTCCTCCTCCCCTGAGTCACCCCTCCCGGCCTCCCGCGGGGCCCTGCGCGACTCCCCGCGTTCTGCCGGGGCCCGCGAGCTCGTCCCGCGCCCGGCGTCGTCATCCCGGTCCCAAAAGGAAACTGGAGCCCTTCCGCCATCGTCATCATCCCAGAAAGAAGTTTTCTTCCCGCTGTCCTCATCTCTTTCCCAGAATGACGGCGTGTTCTTCTGTTCCTGGTCAGTTCCATTGTTATCCCAGAACGAGTTCGCTCCATTTCTGTCGTCATTGTCATCTCCCCAGAAGGAGGTGCCTCCCGCCTCCCCGCCCGTGTCCCGAGGTCTGTCAGACGTCTCTGTGGTTCCCATCCCGTCCTCCCCGGGGTGGTGGTTCCAGGAGGAGTCCTGGGGAGCGGCGGGGTCCGACTCGGGGTCGGCATCCACAGCGGCGGCCTCCCCTCTGCGGGCTGGCAGACCCTACACAACAGACACAGGTGCTGACTGGACAGACCCTACACAACAGACACAGGTGCTGACTGGACCGGCAGACCCTACACAACAGACACAGGTGCTGACTGGACAGACCCTACACAACAAACACAGGTACTGACTGGACAGACCCTACTGCTGACCGGACCGGCAGACCCTACACAACAGACACAGGTGCTGACTGGACCGGCAGACCAGACACAGGTGCTGACTGGACAGACCCTACACAACAAACACAGGTACTGACTGGACAGACCCTACACAACAGACACAGGTGCTGACCGGACCGGCAGACCCTACACAGCAGACACAGGTGCTGACCGGACAGACCCTACACAACAAACACAGGTGCTGACTGGACAGACCCTACACATCAGACACAGGTGCTGACTGGACAGACCCTACACAACAAACACAGGTACTGACTGGACAGACCCTACACATCAGACACAGGTGCTGACTGGACAGACCCTACACAACAAACACAGGTACTGACTGGACAGACCCTACACAACAGACACAGGTGCTGACCGGACCGGCAGACCCTACACAACAGACACAGGTGCTGACCGGACAGACCCTACACAACAAACACAGGTGCTGACTGGACAGACCCTACACATCAGACACAGGTGCTGACTGGACAGACCCTACACAACATACACAGACATACGAGTACACATTCACAACACAAACAGACCCTACACAACTCATACAGGCGCTGACTGAACATCGCTGGCACACACAGACATACTAACCAGTGACCACCAGCATATGTCTGGACCCACGGACAGCAGTCACTTTTCTCTGGTACACACGTATTATTATGAACGCTCAAAATGGATGAAACCGAATGTAAGATGTGGTTTGTAGAAGATGGGTGACCTTTCGTTACGTATTACGGAAAATTAGTCAGGGGGGTGTACTTGGCGTGAGCGAAAGCCAAAGCGCGTAAGCAAAATGGTAGGTATGTTGAACTTCAAAGGTCAATTGGTTCGATTAGACAACGGATTACGTATTGACAGGGAAAATAACAAAATAGCCCCAACACACGAATCTGTACACATGGCCACAGAGCATTCATCACCGACTTACAATAAATCTGTTGACTTTGGGTTTGGGCTTTTCGGGCATGGCGGGCTGATCCTTCATGGCCTCGAACATGGAGCGCAGATTTCGGGCCGTCTCCAGGCTGGGACGACACTCGTCCTCGGCGTCGAACCGCTGATCGCGCTCCATCTTCTGCTCCCAGCGCTCGAACTTGGCCTTCAGGTTACGGGCGTGGTCGGTGCGCTGTCGATGGCGAGGGAAAGGGAGGAGTGCTGACGCTTCTGGTAGGAGCATACAGTTTGGTTTGGGTGTTCCGAGTTCGGATAAACCAAGACGAAAACTCTGCCATTCACTTGAAAGATTATTTGACACTTGGCATAATCTTTCCAGCGCTTAAAACAGCGTACATTTCGGGTTACCATATTGCTCCGATTTTTTTCAACGCTTAACCCTATTCCTGGCGGGCTCCGCCGGGACAAGAAACTGGCGGGGGGGGGCCGATTCGGCCCCCCCCCCCTGAGATCTCGAGAACGAAGCAAGATAGCGACAAGCGGTAAACGGCATCGGATACGCACGGCCAAGATCTACAATTTTTACTAAGGTCATTTTCAGGTCAGGTCAAAGATGACGTCACAGGGGTCGAAAAAGTCAAAATGGCGGCACTAGATATGGAGAGAGTTTTTCTCGAATAACTTTCGAATTAGTCAAGATAGGAACAAACTAAGGGCATCATCGTGATCCTCTCGTCAATCCGCATCGAATGATATATATGTTGACCTCGAAAGGTCAAGGTCAAAGGTTGACCTCAGGTCACGTGACCTCGAGGTCATCATGTATATCATTCGATGCGTCTTGACGAGCTGAGCACAATGAGACCATCCACGCGTCTGTATCTTGTTCCTGTACGGAGTTATTGGCCAAAAACCTTTGGTGACCTTTGATGACGTCACATGACCTCACAGCTGCCCAACAGCAAAACAGACCTCAAGGTAGTGAAGGTTGATCGTATATGAAGTCATGTATGGTATATGGGGCCATTCCGACCCGTTTTAGTGGTAAAAACAGGGAGTTGATTTTTCCCCCATTGACTTATAATGGGGAGGTCGCGAAATTGACCTGACCTTAGGTCACCGATATCAAAATTCCGAGATATACAAATTGCATATACTGGTACCCTAACTAAACCCTGAAGAGAAGAAATTGATCGGTCAAAAACTCTAGCTCTGGCGTGATTGCAAACTTTTCTGAGGTAGCGTCACCAAACCGCCTCTGGTGACCTGACCTGAGGTCAGATCAACTCAAAATTTTCAGACATGTTGCGTAGAAGCCTTTTAGGAAAAGTCAGAAAATTTGAGCTTCCTAGCTCAACGCGTTTGGGAGATATAACCAAAAAACCTCAGGGGGGGGGGGCTCCTGAGGCCCCCCCCCCGCCAGGAATAGGGTTAAAGGCCTGTCGTTCAGATGAGTCGAACTGCACCTCTGATGGTCTCGGTATGTAGGTACCTGTGTGAGGAACTCATCCTGAACCCGGCTGTATCAGGAGCTCGCCCTGGACCCAGCCGTACCTGTGTGAGGAACTCGCCTTGAATCCTACATTACCTGTGTGAGGAACTCGTCCTGGACCCGGCTGCCGGAGCGCACCACGCCTGACTCTGAGTCCTCGTCGGACGTGTACTCGGAGTCGTCCGTGTACGTGTACTCCGAGTCAGAGTCAGTGTCTTCAGTGTACTCGGGCGGCGGCGTGAACGACTTGAGCGGCTTCGGACCTGGCGGCGAGTCAGGGTTCAAGTTGCCGGGACTACTGTTAACGCCAGACCCCTTGAGACCCTAATTTTTCGCGATTACTTTTAAATGCGTGAAGGAATTTCAACCAAGCTCAGGACATGGCCGTTTCAAGACAGGCCGAAACTTTTACAATTTAGATATTTTATCGCTATTTCAATATTTCAGGCACTTGTAATTGACTCGTAATGTTAAATTTCGAGCAAGATTTTCATCCGGTGTGTAGAGGCTATCACCAGTCAGTCTGTGATACGTTATGACGTCACAGCTAAGCCCCGCCTCTGTGGTCTTGGCCTGCGGCGGTTTCGGGCCGGCGCGCGGTCACTCTCGCTGTGGCGGGGAGCGGGGACGGGCGACGGTCGAGCGGTGCCGAAAGCCGGCGGAGTTGTGCGTAGCGTCTTGGCTGACAGTGCCCAGAGAGCGACATGATGACTAAGGAGCCATAAATGCTCAATGCGCATTGCTTCTACAATGCTGATATGTTCGCTGATATTTTTTTTTTATAAGCTGCAAATGACGGGCAGATGGCATATAACTGACATAAGGTTAGGAAATATTCACCTGTATTTAAAGCCTATGGCGTTGCAGATAATGCGATAATGGGATGTCGGATGTCACCAAGTAGCTGCCGATTTGTACATCGCTATGCAACCATCAAACAACGCAATAATAAGTTAATTGCCTTCGCTTCACATCATAAGGCTCGCTCGTATTTCAAACAGATACCCTACATCGAAAATCGTATTTGTTAGGAATCGTTAACGTTTGTTCGAAGCACGACTGAGTAGTAGGTTGAGGAGTGATGGTCCTCTTGGTCCTATATACCTACAACAGTCAACAAGAGCCTAACATTTACTTGACCGTCTGCTGCAATAGCACGTGAAGCGTCAGCGAAATTCATAGTCCTTCACAGATGGCAGGGGTGTCGTTTGTACAGAGGTCGCTGATGGGCACGGGTCAATGCCGTAGTCGTGGGCGGAGCCTAATGTCATATGACGTAGAAAGCCTCTATCCCGGATGGAAAAACAGTTAACATTACGAGTCAATGACAAGTGCCTGAAATATTGAAATGGCGATAAAATATCTAAATTGTAAAAGTTTCGGCCTGTCTTGAAACGGCCATGTCCTGAGCTTGGTTGAAATTCCTCCACGCATTTAAAAATAATCGCGAGAAATTAGGGTCTCAAGGGGTCTGGCGTTAACAGTAACTCAACTATGGGTGGGTCAGAGGTTGGAGGGCGTCGATCATTTGCGTCAGCCAGAAGTCCGTGATTCAGATGTGTCTGGAGCAGCTAAAGCATTAGGCCTGTCCTGCTTTCCCATTTTTATAGCCCTCTTATGTTGTTAAATACTGACATGCCTTGTATTTGCCATCATTGGTCATGGTTGGCTTGTTTTCATGTTCAATAATTGCCCTTTTCCCATAAGAATACATGCCCAGTACCCACTAATCATTCCATCAAGCTGCTTATAAGCTGATAAGCTAAAGTTCATTTCAAAGAAAAGCATAAGGTGCATCTGGCACACGTATACCATTAAAATAGCATTGCACAATGCACGTACTCACACATTGTTACATAACATAAGGACCGCTTTCTTATACCAGAGGTTGATAATGAGCGGGCTTGCCAAAGCCTTTGAGAAAGCCGGCAGTGTCTCTGTACTTATCCGCAGTTATGTTTAGATTATTTCGCAATGTATCTCCGAACTGTCGGGCAGTTCCGCCCGTTGCGCATCCCTTACCGTCGGGCAGGTGCTCGCGCTGCGCATCCTCCTCCATTTGCCGGAACTTGGACAGCAGAGAGCGCGCGTTGCCCTGCGGCTTCTCGGCCCGCTGGATCTCTGCGACAGATTGGGGAGCAATTAGCATGAGTGTGGTTAGACTCAGTTGTTTCTGTAGATAACATTTGGACAGTGTAAAGGCTGAAACAGACTCTTTTCGCGTTCAGGAAATCGCATGCGAGAGCATATTCAAATACATTATATTTCTTCCCGCATCAATCGCATCCGGGAGGTGCGTGCGATTGATGCGAGCGTGCTTCCATGGATTTGAATAGGCTCTCGCATGCGATTTCCTGACTGCGGAAAGAGTCTGTTTCAGGCATAAGACCGAGGACGGTTATTAGTTGTGCCATCCGACTCCGTAAATGAAACGTGTCGTACGATGTTGGATGTTTTCCACACAAGTTTACTTTGAGTGCTTCGTCGTCCTTAAAACCTTATTCGCAACGGCGTCATTTTCTCCTTTAGATGTTCTACGGTCTCTTCCGGACTGCCCATAGATACTGGACAGATGTAATCAACTGACCGTTTCTTCCCAGCCCTGAAGGAGACAGATTGCCTTTGTGTTGAGCTCTTTCTCTTTCTCTCCCGGCTACCTTTTTATCCGCCTCCCTGTCTCCTGGTTACCTTTGTGTCCCCTCCCTGTCGCTCCAATTACCTTTCTGTCCGCCTCCCTGCCGCTCCATCTCTTGAAACTGTCGCAGCATGCGGCTGGTGGTGTCGCTGCGTATCAGCCGCTCCTCCTGGTCGTCCGCCCGCACCACGTTCGGGTCCCGCTCGATCTCACGGTCCGGGGAGTCGCCCTGCAGAGGGAGCGGGGGATGAAGAGGGGCGGTCATGGGCTGTGTGCACGCGGGGTATGATATAGTAGGAAAGGGAGGTTTCGTCACTGAAAGTGGGCTGGACTTGCCCAGGGATAAAGAGGGAACAAAAACTTTATGATAGAAATTTAGCTCCTCCATTGTTTTTCTTTGTGATCTGCATCCCTTAACTATTTATTTTGGGGAACATTTGCATTGCTATCCAACGCTTGAGGCTTATCGTACCTTGACTGTGCCCTCGCGCGGCGGTGAGAAGCGGAACTGTTTCTTCTTCAACTCGGGCTCCTTGTAGGTCTCGAAGAACTTAAACCGGCTGGAGAGCGCCGACGTTTCCACGTGGATGTCCTTGCTCTTGGAGGATGATTTGACCACCTCCTGTGCTGGCTCCGACTCGTAGAGGCTCTGTGTGATGAACCTCGGTTAGGTGCACGGCCATCGAGCGGCAGCGGCAACAAGATGTAGTTGATTCTACTGCTCATAGGTGGCGCTGTGTACAAACGCCTGAAGTTATGCTGTACCGCATGGCAGCTGAAGGTTATGTTATTGGTAACGCGCTGCATTCCCATTGTATTGGTTCAAGGCTTGTTTTGTGTGTGTGCCGTGACTGAACCGACAATGATTAACGATAAGACAGTTGGTATTTCATCTGATAGGTGAGTCACCTACCTTTCTGAACTCTGTCCTGCCGGCGGAAGACGGCGACCTCATGACGACCTGCTCCTTGGCTCCGGACGCGTCCAGCTCCTTGAACAGGGAGCGGGCTCCGCGCGCCGTGCCTGTTGCCATGGAAACACGGGTCAGTGGAGGACGCTGAGAGGCAGGGCGGGCTGCCACTCACTGCTCCACTTTGACGGAATAAAGCCTGCTGTTTCTGGATACAACAATGTCTCCTTCCAACCGAAGAAGGTTTACGTTCGTTGAAGTGCGCTTAGCTCACATACAGCTGGTCTAGAGCCTGGGCTTACTAGCTGGCCACTTCTGTACCTACCCAAACATCCCACGGCCACACGTGTTTCTCTAAATGCGTAGTCTCGGTGGCAAACATACCCGGCAAACAGGATGTTTTCCACAAGAATGATTGTTATAAATCTCCCAACTGTTTTCTGTAGCAAACCCGATCTCCTGGTCTCTCTAGATTTTTGCGTACCTGCCTCCCTGAAGAGTGCGGCGTCCTCCTCCTTCCGGCGTCGCGTCTCTTCGTCCTCATCCAGCTGGGAGACCTCGCCGCGCTCGAACCGGGAGGCCATGTCGGCGGCACGGTCGCGGGAGACGGCCTCGGCCGCCCTGGCGCCCGCCGGACTCTCCTCCTGGGCCGCCCGCAGGGCCTCCTCGTACGCCTTCAGGTTCAGGTTCTGCACGCACAGCGCGCGGCCGTGAGGTCAAAGTCGCGTTAGATATTCTGCGCGATGACGAGTGTCACGTTATTGCTAGACTAGCCGACTGTAAGATAATCACTTCACCAGCTTCATGTACCGGATCCTCGTCTACTCGAAGCAAACGAAGGGGTAGTGCTGAAATTAAAAAAGCGCAAACTTCATATTTTTTTAGACACATCCAAGCTAAGGGATTTTTATAGAATGCTTGATAACTCTCATTGTTTGTAGTAAACTAACCTGGATTTCAGCGCTGGGATCTTCAACCGTTTTCTTCAGCTTCTCTGCTTGTGTTAGGGTTTCTTCATAGGCCTTTCTTCTGTCACTTGCCTGAAAGTAAGGACAGCGAAGGGTCTCTCAGGTTAAGCTCGTGCTCGGGTGATAGGTTCTTAGGCGTGAAGGTCTATGCCAACGTTCTCATTTTTATGACGGAAGCCTTTCTCAAACAACACACTATTTGTACTTATTAGTTTTTTCATATTCCAATTTTCAAGTTTGTGCAAAAGGAATGTTTTAGGTCTTCTTACCATTCGAAGGCTCCTTTGTTAGCATAGAAAAGGGATACATAATACATATTCGTCATTATATTCGCTATTGCCTTTCAGCGTTCCCGCAACACCGCGAGGCTTAAAAACACTGGATACGCATAGTGTTGAAAATGTAATATCGAAAATATTATTTTGTATTATCAAGCATAAAGATAGATGTCTCTTAGTAAAGCTCGCGATTGGAGTTGATCTTTCCTCAGTTAACGAGCTATTCTGTTCTAAATGTCGTGGTTATCCACTTAGGTACATCTCCTTTGTCAAACCGTCACAAAGCCCCTACTGTCTGTCCGTCTCACCGTCTCTCTGTCTGTCTCTCTGTTCGTCTTACCGCCTCTCTGTCTCTCTCTATCCCTCTGCACACTCACGCCGCAGATGAGGCCGCGCAGTTTGGTGAGCTCGCCCTTGCGCTCCTCGCGCAGCCGCTCGCGCCGCTCGTGGCCCTCCTCGAAGCGCCGCTTGGTGTCGTCCATGGCGGCGAAGCTGGCCGGCCGCTCCTTAGCCTTCCTGCTGGCTGAGCGCACGACGTCCGGGTCACGCTGTACTCCCTCCTCCTCGTCCTCCTCCTCCTCCTCGTCGGAGGACATGTCCTCCAGCTCCACGCCGATGTCGCCCTCCTGGCTGCGCGCCTGGAACCTAGGGGAGCGTAGGGGAGGGGTGCGGTCAGCTCTGTAAGAGGCGGAGGCACCGGCAGCGCTCATAGACAGATGAGAGGGGCCGTCCTGCTGATCACATGCCAAGGAAGATGTTGGAATTCTGAGCAACGTAAAACGGCGAGCGGTATCCAATAATCGAAGCAATATATTTCGGAATTGTTTTCGGCGTAAATTTGTTGAGCTTAACTATCTGGCACCAAGAAGAAAAGCCAATCTAGGAGAAATACTTACTTCTTTATCTTCTTGAGGAGGTTTTGTGACGGTTTGACCTCTACGGCGGGGGCGTTTTTCTCCTGCTCGTCGGCGCTGGTGTGCTCAAACACCGAGAATCGGTCCTTGACATTCAGGTTCTGAAGCTCGTCAAGGCCGTAGTCTGACTTATTGGAAGCTGAAAAACACAGGAGATGAGCACACTGAACTGGGCGATAACCATAGGAACGGGAAAAGCATGTCTTCTTTCAAGTGGGTAATGATGACAATAATACCTACAAACTGCCCGATTTGTCGTTGAAGTCGGAATGTGGGAATTGGTCGTGGTAGGTATGGCTATTAGTAAAGTATACTTGGGTATAACCCGCTGCCCCGCTGCCCTGATTATGTCTTTTGTAGCCACTAATGCACCGCCGATACGGAGCTAGTCCCGGTCGTGCGCGCGGACGGCGGCGGCAGCCGGGCGGTGTCTATTCTGAAGCAGCGCTGCCGACGAGAGACCGGACGCACCTGGACAAACACGCCCGGTGACACTCCTGATGTACTGCAGGGACACTCCTGATGCGCTGCCGGGGACACTCCGCTCTGGCCGCGCTGCCATTACAGGAACACTCCTGAGACACTCATTATGCTGCCGGCCTATCGCGACACACTCATTAGCTCCGGTCGCGCCGGCCCCGAGTCCGTGCCACCGCCTAGTCGCCATTTTTCACTGGAAGTTGGCGACGGCTTGACGATTGTTTAGTTTATACGAAATGTGATTGATAACATTTGGCTGAGCTCGAGAGAACTTTGATGGAACGTGATGCAGAGATAAAGCTGTAAAGGAAGTTTATGTGATCTTTTCTATACAGATACCTTGAGGACCAAGGCGTATAATTGTATATAACATGCAATCCTAATAGAAACATACTGCGCAGCGACTGTCACCATCGTCTCAGAAGTAATTTAGAAATGAGATAAAATGTTGATGTCCCGGATTAGCGTTACTCGGGATGAAATATTGATCACCCTGATTGGCGTTACACAGAATCTGCAAGATACGGGAAGCTACCTGGAGCGCCTGTTTGACTGAAGCAGCCCTCATGTGGAAGCGCTGAGTAGCCGTGGGTCCGGAGTGAGTCCCGGCTGGAGGTCACGGTACTCACCGTCCGCACCGCCGAGCCAGGGCAGCGCGGTGTCGGGCAGGGTGCGCCGCCGACCGGTGAACCCGTGCAGACGCCGGTACCAGGAGCGGTCCAGGCCGGAGCCGCCCAGGCCCGAGCTGCTGCCCAGACCCGGCATGGTGGGCTGGCGCGGAGGAACGGCCGCGAGAACACTCAGATGACACGAGCCGAATGTGGAGTGTTCTTTGCACCACCTGCACTCTGAGAACTTCAGGGTCTTGGATCACTGAAAATGAGCTTTCGGTCGTATGAACGGTTTTTCGGTTCTTGATATGTTCTTGAAGATGCACTTCTACCAAGCTTGTGCGAAATGGGTCGGTATGCTTGCGGTAGTCGTAAAACTGCAAGTAGTACTTTATATTCTTCGGCTATACACTCGTCTCAAGTCGTCCAGGACTCGCGGCCAGGAGCCTGTGACGGCGACCGGTCGATTCGCTGCCCGCCGCCGGCCGTGCAGTGTCGGGACGGCACCGGCGGCGCTTCACGCGGGGGCGGCGCCGCGCACCGAGTGGCCCTCCTCGCCCGCACCTTGTCACGGCGAGCCAATAATACTGCGGCGGGTGCGGCGCGGCGGCGACCGGCACATACCCGGCGCACCAGCGACATACCGTGCGCAGCGCGCCGCACCGCCAGCCGCAGCGCGCCCGGAAATAGGCGCACACGGGGACGGAAGGAGAGCACGAGTTCACTGACTAACGGTACTCGGAGTGAGCACGGAAAAGATCCCCCTCTCCAACCGGGCGACGTGCAAAGGCAGAACGGATTCAGGATTCACTTACAGTGATGTACCTATAGGAACCACGTTCACGAACAACGTCTTCATCCGCAAATATGATAAGGTTGAAATGCTCATTGCGTCGTGCACTCACTCAAAAATGTAAATTTACTCCCACCGCAACTTATCCAACATGGTTGACGGCGACGGAGAGCATAGTAGGTAGGTAAGTCAAGCATTGCGCCACAATCTGCTTTCCAGGCGATCTGTTGTACTGTGTTGGGCGGTACAGACTACCGTCCAGGCGCTCTTTCGTACAGTGTTGGACGGTACAGTCTACCGTTCAGGCGCTCTGTTCTTCAGTGTTTTGCGGTACAGTCTATCTTCCAGGCGTTCTGTCATACAGTGTTGGACGGTACAGCATATCTTCCAGGCGCTCTGTACATCAGTGCTTTGCGGTATAGCCTATCTTCCAGGCGCTCTGTCATACGGTGTTGGACGGTACAGTCTACTGTCCAGGCGTTCTGTCATACCTATTTTCGGCGGTATGATCTCTTGGGCTAGGCTATCTATCCAGCGCAGGGAAAGCAGATGACCACTAATTATGGATGTTCTGTTGTGGTTTACACATAATCTGGACTGATCGATGCCCTTACCGCGCAATCACTGGCGGTGCGCGGTCTCATTAGGAGGGGCACTTTCTTCGTTCTCATCCATACAGTATTTATGGACAATTGTTTGGTACTTACAACAAACGATCTCTGGGGGAAGCTCATGAGCACTCACGTCTTACGCCATCGGGAGGGGGGGGGGGAGATTGGGAGGAACAGCTACTGCGTACTAACACCGTACCACGTCTGGAGGCTGCTCGTGAGCAGAGTACTTACATCGTACGACGTCAGGGGGCAGCTCCTGCGGTTGAGACTCGCGGATGATGAGTTCGTGCCGTCGGAGCCGGGGCACTGGAACAGAGCATCACCAAGCGTTGTCAATAGACAGTTTCACCCCGGTATTTACGTGGTTATGCGGCTTGTGAGTATAATTTGACTAATTAGTATCAGTGGCGCAGCCAGGGGGGGGTCAGAGGGTCAGCTGACCCCCCCGAAATTTCTGTCGGGGGCCCGCTCGAGAAAGAAAGAGAGAGAGAGAGAGAGAGAGAGAGAGAGAGAGAGGAGAGAGGTCGTAATCTAATTGGACGAGCCCGCTTCGAGAAATGCCTACTGGGACACCACGGGTGAGGGGTCGGCCTGGGGTTCCAGGTGGATGGGGCCCGGGCCCCCGGGAGAACGGGCCCGGGCCCCCTGGGTGGATGGGACCCGGGCCCCCGTGGATGGGTCCGGGGCCCCCGGCGGCTGGGTCCGGGTCCCCGGGAGAACGGGCCCCGAGCCCCGGGTGGATGGGGCCTGAACCCCCGGGAGAACGGGCCCGGGCCCCCGGATGGATGGGGCCCGGGGCCCCCGGCGGATGGGCCCGGGCCCCCGGGAGAACGGGCCCGGGCCCCCAGGAGAACGCCCCCTGGCCCCCTGGGTGGATGGGGCCCGGGCCCCGGGTGGATGGTGCCCGGGACCCCGGGAGAACGGGTCCGGGCCCCTGGTGGATGGGGCCCGGGACCCCCGGTGGATGGGCCCGGGCCCCCGGGAGAACGGGTCCGGGCCCCCAGGAGAACGGGCCCGGGCCCCCTGGGTGGATGGGGCCCGGGCCCCGGGAGAACGGGCCCCGAGCCCTGGGTGGACGGGGCCCGGACCCCCGGGTGGATGGGGCCCGGGCCCCGGGTGGATGGGGCTCGGCCCCCCTGGTGGACGGGCCCCGGAGCCCCGGGTGGATGGGACCCGGAGCCCAGGTGGACGTGGCCCGGGCCCCCGTGTGGATAGGGCTCGGGCCCCCGTGTGGATAGGGCCCGGGCCCTCGGGTGAATGGGCCCCCTAGGGTGACCCGCTTGCTCCGCAACGCGAATAAGGGGTATCTTCGATCGGTGGGCGTTTGGTTGGTCTTGTGTCCGTGGGTTATGTATCCATTTCGGTCGATTGCCTTTTGACGGCTAAGTATTTTGGTTTGGGAAAAATATCCATCGCATCGAGGTACAGTACAGTACAGTACAGTACAGTATATTTTGGTAACCAAGGACAAGAAACATCGGAGAAAATGATAGAGGTGCTCGTGTCTAGTGATAACTGATAACCATGCGTTCTACTATAGGACATGCTAAGTATATTTTATAGCATAGGTTGACGTAGGCTACCTATTGAAAAAATGGAGGCCATCGATGAATTACTATGCAGAGGTTTGAAACGTTTATATTTTTAAGAATATTGTTGCTCTTCATGCAAAAGCGATGAATGGATCTTGGATAAAATTGAAAGCTCTTTTCAACTATGCCATTTTCAATTGTCAAACGTACCAGTTTATGCAGCAAAACCCGTGTAATTAAGTAGGTAAGTCATGAACAAATGCCATTTTCTTCAGCGATTTGTTCCACCTTGTTTTTGATCAATTAGCTTTTCATAATTTTTCCATGAGAGGCGGTACGTTTCTCTTGACCTGACCTTCAGGTGACATTGACATCCACCCTTATGCATGGGAGCAACATCAAATCACATGTTTGAACGCTTGAAATCACGAAAGGACTGCAAACGCGCCGTTAAAGCGAGCCGGCATACGCCGAACCGCGATTCTGGACAAACATGGTCTCGGAAAGTCGGCCAGCTTTGGCCTGCTTTCCGATCTTTAGGTCGGAATTTGACCTTGAATTGACCTTTAGGTCATTTGGGCCAGGGTCATAAAATTTCTAGGATAGGTGTAAAATTGATCAACGCGAGGGTACTGAAAGTTACGTCGCGATCAGCCGCTTTTTACGAGTTATTTGCGAAAAAAAAACTTTAGGGGAGTTGCATCAGGCATCAGCCCCTTCCCCCCTGTGCCACGAGGGTTAAAAATTCTTGTGAGCGAATTCACGTAATGAAGAAGAGTAAAGGCACAATTTACTACAGCAGCCAATACATTACTTAGAACAGGCACATGGGACTAGTTAAATATTGTCCGACGGAAGCAGGCAACAGTTCCAATTGCATATATGCTATGCATATTGCGGAAGGGGCACATTTCGGCCTCGAAAGATACGAATTCTTACGTCATAGAACATATTTCTGTCGTGGTCAATTTGCACAAAAATTGAACACCGGGTGATTACCGAGCTATTGTTCTATCCAAATGTTCTGATTCAAACTCGCTCAGGGTTATCGCGCAGGTAAAGGGGGCCCGCTCAGCAGAATGTGTATGAAACATGGAGAGATTCTGAAAAATGGGTGGGGGGCCCGCACACTAGGGGGCCCGCTTTGGAGGCGATGACCCCCCCGAAATGAAATCCTGGCTGCGCCACTGATTAGTATATATATTGTTACTTGTAAGCATAATCTACTGATCGGGCAATCCTACTGATCCATCCAACTATCGACCTATCTCAATTGTTCCTGCCTTTGCCAAACTTGTAGAAAAAGTTGCTCAGCAGCAGCTGTACACCTACATGTCTGGCAACCATCTATTTTCCTCATCCCAGCACGGTTTCCGCTCTTGTCTCTCCACAGAAACCGCGCTCGCCACCGTATCCGATCACATCCTCTCTGCCACCGACCGTCAGGAACTCACTCTCCTATGTCTCCTCGATCTCTCCAAATGCTTTGACGTCATCGACCACTCAAAGCTACTATCCAAACTTCAAACCTATTCTATCGATCCGACCTGGTTTTCTTCTTACCTCCGTGGCCATTCCCAATCAGTTTGCACAACTGACGGGCGAGGAAACCGAGTCCTCTCCGATCCTCTACCCAATCCTATCGGCGTGTTCCAAGGATCCTCGCTGGGCCCGCTCCTGTTCCAAATATTTGCCAATGACCTCCCTCTTTTCGCTCCCGGGGCGCACGTGGTGCAGTACGCTGATGATACCCAAATTCTACTTTCTGGCAAAAAAGATTCCCTCCCTCATCTCATCGCCACTTTAGAACAAATTTTGGACTCTTTTGATGCCTGGTTTCATACCAACGGCTTAAAAGTTAACACAGCTAAAACTGAGCTCATCGTTTTTGGCTCGCACCAAAATTGCCGCAGCCTGGATCCCATCTCAATTCGGTTCCGTGAGGACACGATCCGTGAGGGCCCCACGGTGAGGAACCTTGGCGTGGTTTTCGACAAGCACCTCACCTGGGACGCTCACGTATCGGCCCTCGTCCAAAAATGCAACGGTATCCTCATTGGGCTGTCCCACGTGCGTCACCACATCCCTTGTGAACTTCTGCCAACCGTGGTCAGCGCCTTGGTCCTCTCGCACGTCCGATATTGTCTCTCGGTTTATGGAAACGGGTCGGACAAAAACACACAACGCCTCCAAAAAGTTCTCAATTTTGCGCTGCGCGTTGTGTCCGGCCGAAGAAAATTTGACCACATATCGGACGTGCGAGAGGAACTGGGCTGGCCTACCGCCCGTCAGTTGTACGAAATCCACTCTCTTAACTTCCTCCACAAAATACGCTGCACCGAAGAGCCGGATACTATGTCCTCCCAAATCCTGGCCAACTCTTCCCTTCGCTCACGCTCAACCCGGCGGGACACTGATCTGTCTCTCCCACGCGTGAGAACCGAAGCAGGGAGGCGGCGCCTGCTCTACAGCATAGCCCAGTTGTACAACCGTCTGCCCCATGACATTAGACATCTCCCTCTGGGAGCTTTTAAACGCTCTGTTTCCGAGTTGTATCTGCGTGATTAAGGATGAATGTGTGATTTGAATTGTGTTCTGTTTGATGTGATTGATGAGTGTATCTTAACTTGTTTTTCCTTTTAACCGTGACGCGACACTCGGAATAGCCATTTTACTGTGGAGAGTGTTTTAACTGTCAAATACAAATACAAATACAAATACAAATCTTACACGGCATTCCAATTAGCGCAATAACTCGGCGTAAAGGCTCCTACCTCGTTTTTCTTCCTCCTTTTCTTCGACGGCTTTTGGTTTGAAGAGCATCTTGTGGTGTACTTTGCAGTACAGCTGCCGGTCATGACTAGCGTAGGTGTCGACACTGCAAACAAAGAGTACGCAGTTAGCATTGAGTTCCGGCATCATTCATTCCTAAGAATTGAAATGGGAAAGACAGATTGATATTGGGGATGTGGCTGAAAGAGGCCACTGTTGGTCAACGTTCCCCAGCAATATTACGATTACCGGGAAACCAGCCCATGTCGGTCAAATTTTGACAAATTGGTTGTCCCGGATGTAATAGGTTTATAAGCTTTTATCGGCAGCCGATGATGGCACCTTATGTACATACGGTATAAATTGACCAATGAGGTATCGCCCCAGCACTGACGTCACGGACCACGGTGGCCACTCACGTCAGCTGTTTGTTGCACTCTGTGCACCGGAAGCAGTCCTTGTGCCAGACAGCCCTTTCGGCTTTGATGCGCTCCATCTGAAACACCTGACGGCCGCACGCGCGGCAGTTGGTCTGCGACTCCTCTGCCGGCGCCTGTCGGTCAGAAACGGGCAGTGGTCACAGGCACAACCCTCCGCCTGTCGGTCAGAAACCGTCATCGTATTCGTCACAACCCCTCCACCCGCACCTCAGGGTCAAGTATGAGTAATTGAGTATCAGGTCAAGTAAGTATGACGTTCAACGCTAATGGTCACTATCACACAACGCCAACCACGCCTGCCGCACCCTGGGTTCTGGCTTCAATTTTAGCCGGTGCTTATAGTCTACAAATGGTCACCTTGGGAGGCAACAAAAGGTGAATGCATAAAATAATTTCAATTTGACTGTGATACATTTGCTTTTCACTTTGCTACTTACGCTCAAGAGTCAAGACCCCTGACCTGTTGGTGTTTACGTGAGTCAGAAGTGAACCTAACGGCCGAGTTCGCTTACCTTGCTGAACTTTTTGATGACCTTTGAACTGTCATACGACCGGACGTGTATGCGGCTGCTGTCTGAGCCTGCTCCCGGCTCTCCCTGAGAACAAGAACAGTGGGGTTTAGGCCCGGGGGCGTACATCGCTAATCGTAATACTGTATGTACATACATCGCTCTTAATATCTACCAATGCGCTGAACTCCTCTGCAGATGATGACTACTCATTACTTTGCTAGTTGCAGTATTATTACACTTGCGTTTAACGTTCCGAGTCACGAGAACAATGCTAAGCTAAGTTGCTAAGTTGCTTAGCTCTTAGCAACTTAGCTAAGAGCTAAGTTGCTACCTGAATTGCTAAATTGATAAAAAAAAATCATTGCGGCCAATTTACAGTGTACAGAACATCTAGCGCATGCGGCGATGCACCTTCATGAAAACGATGCACTGGAACTCGTTTTCCTGGAACGTATATGTCTCCATACTAGTAATAAGCTTTTACATCGTTTGTTCTGTTTGCTTCGGGTGATCTTTTTGAAGGAACTTATTTAATATCAGCATTTACCGTGCCCCCATTTTCCTTCTCGTGGTCGTGCTTCTTTCTCCGCCGGAGCTTCTTGCCGTCTTTTCCTTCCGATCTCCTTTTCTTTTTCTTCTCTACGCCCTCGGTGCTCTGAGGAGCAGGCGAGTGAATCATCAGCTAAGCAGGGTAACGACCGACCCGACAGGACGCAGAACAGCGGCTCTCATCGAGAGACGTTCGTCACACGATTGCAGCATGACACGGGGAGTATTTTATGCATGCCTGCCTTGGGCGCAATATCCGCGTACTTCATTAGCCAGCATTTTGATTATATGTACATAAATCGGATAAAACAAAGATGCAGCTCATTAATGCTTAACTTAAACTTCGGGCAACAAATCAGTTTGGATTTACAGAGAAGGTGTTTCCTGAGAGGTTCTACCATGGCGACTTTATGTTGGAGGTCATGACCTTGACCCTGAGACGTGCCGGCTGACGTTTGCGGAGCGCTCACCGTGACAGTTTCCGTTGTGGTCACCGAAGACTGGACCGATTCCAAGGTTTCCATGGCCGGTCCGTCGGTCTGCCTGCACGCTGCCTGCCAACAGAACAGGCGACAGTGAGATAAATAAGGGAAAGTTTTAAACAGGACAGAGTGCTGTTGAAATAGCGTACTTAATAGCGTTTAGGTTATATTCCTAATTGTTTAGTTTTTTGTCGAGTTGAACTATGCAAAAGTCATTATCCATATCGCTTCGTACCCCAGACGGCAGATATATAGTCACTTTTGCGGTCATTCTTCCGGAAACCGTTAGTATTGTATGTAGCGGCAAAGACGCATGCCGTGTTACGTAAATAATTACAGATAATGTTACAGTAATGGTTGTCTTAGCTAGTTATCCTTAGTTCTTATTCATTTGTTTACAGTTCCATGTTGATACAGGCATCTCGCTGCGATCCCTTCCTCCGATCCGTGACCTTTTGGGTCGCCCCCCCTCCCTCCACACAACAGACAACAAAGACTCTCCCTTGGGGCCAACACCACCGAGCGCGTCTGTTTTCCTTGGAAACGGCTGCCGACGATCTGGTGGCTGACACGGAATTTCAGCCGGGTGGGACTGGGACCATCGACGGGCCCCGTCAAACTGGGGCCTCTAACCCCACATTGGGTCCTCTCAACTGGCAGCAACACCCACTTCCTTTAGGTCAACGTCGTCAGACTGGTGCCATCATAGCTGTCAGTTCCTAAGGGACTGACGTGTCATCTCAGAGTGGAATTGAATCTCATCCTTATGAAGTCCTCTCCAGACGGTGGGCCTGGTTTCCCTGTGAGACCAACACTGGGCCCTGACAGCTCTGACAGCGATACTGGCTCTGAAAGGCCTACACCATTCACCGGTGTACTCGTATGATTCCACCGCTGAATCATATGCCGGTGCCCGGTAGCGGTAGCATACTCTGACTCTGACACGTGACGTGACTGGTCTCTGACTGATGCTCGGTGACTCCACGTGCCACGTGCGGCACGGGGCCTGGCACGGCGCCCGCCGCCGACCGGCTGATTTCCCGCTGCTGCACTATGTCCGCCAGAGTGACGTCTCAGTCGAGGAAAAAGAAATGAGGTCATATTGCGACAGCGAAGAGGAATGCAAAAATGAATTCTGGAAGTCAATAAGCACCAACGTAAACTGATTTGTGAACTTCGAAAAAATCGCCAGTAACGGAGTCCATCAGATGCTTTCTTTAGCAAAATAGGAAGTCATCACTGTAACATTGTCATAACGAGCCAAATACGCGCTACATATTTCCCTGGGCTGCTAAGCGGCTTTGCCGAATACTTACAAGGTAAAATACCGATCAATCGGTAGGCATTTCGATTTGTGCCAGGCTGGCGTCTGAGTTAGCTGTATCTGTCCGCTCCCTCTTCACTTGGCGGGAGGGGAGGGGCGCTCCTCTGCCCGGGCGTCGGTCCAAGCGGACCCGGAGGGAGCTCCGGGCCGGGCCGGGCCGACTGACGACGGACGACGGAGCTTCGGGTGCTCTCCGGGCACTGTGGAGTACAGTGTCAGCTTCGGGCAGAATGCTGAAGAGAATCCTACTGGCGACGGCAGCTCCAGACTAACTGGTGGTCCATCTTAGCTCCGGGCGGCCTGACTGTCGACGCGCATCATTCGATAGTTCTAGCTAGACCGAATGCTGGAGACCGCCCCAGGCCTAACTATTAGCGGTAGTACCTCCAGACCCCGATTCCGGAACCCATTGGCCTCGCTCTGGACCGAGTGCTGAAGACAGTCCGTACCCAGTGGCTGGAGAGGGCCGCGGGCCGGCCGCCCCACACCGCCCACCTGTGAGGCCCTGCTGACGGACGGCGCGGAGGTGCACAAACACTCGGGGCTGCCAGCGATGTATCCGGTGTCAGAGGCCAGGTGGGCACCGACCGTGATATGTAGATCACCAGGTCATCTCTGCAACCGACGGCCTTGGTGCGGCCGGCGCTACACATTTACTGCGGCTACTCTGGCTGGTCACGCGTCTTAGATGTAAGGTGGATGGTAACCAGCGTTCGTTGCAATAGAATGGCTCGACTAGCTGTTGATCTTTGATTATTATCTATAAAGCTTAAAATGTGCATCAGTGACATATTAGAAACTCTGAACGTCTGTGTACCAATGTCGGTAGACGGTAAAAGCTCTAGCGTAAACAACCGTCAAGGTTCCACAGTATGAAATGTAACAGCGAGTCGGGGGAGTTTGGTATCGGGCGCGGGCGCCCGGCTGTCCTCCGGAACAGTCTACCAGTCCAGGCGCTATGGTGGAGTGTTGCGGCACAGCATAGCATCGCAGGCGGCATGGCGGTGGTTGGCGTCTGGCGATAGCACGGCTCACAGCTTTCGACGTTCACCGGTCTTACCAAGTGATGCGTACCGCCTCTTCCTATTCACTTGGCTCATAATTCGAAATGCTACCGGTGCCAAGTGCGTACTCGCGTCACCTGTCTTGTCGCGGCAGTGAACTAGTGAATGGCGATGTACATACGTATATAAATGTTACAGGGAGTATGCGATTTCAGTTAGTTTGCAACGACCCTAGGGTGGTTGTAACCTCCCTGAACGATCAGTTTGTTTGCAACGACCCTAGGGACGTTACAAAATAACTGCTCGTTCCGGGACGTTGTAACGAAACTAGGGTCGTTGCAACCTCCCTAGTTAGTATGCAACGAACCTAGGGTTGTTACAAAATAACTAGGGAGTTTAAGAATTCATCGAGTCTCGTTTCACAGGAGGGCCGTCAACAATCTTGTCCAATGCAGATCTTGTTCAATCTAGTTCAGTTTAAAAGAAAAGGAGAACAACATTTGAACATTCAGCTCAGGAGTATTTCACGACGGCCATCTAGTACACGTTATGTGCCGATTAGGTGCACATTTGGTGCAGATTTGTACAAATTAGGTGGGCATTCGCCAGGAAGCCCTTCGTAAAAACGGCCATTATCCGCTCGTTTCCAGTCTTTTTGTGATTATAAACGTTCACACATGTGAAATACTGGTGGTCCCATGCATTATGGTGGGTGTCAAGGTCACGTGAAGGTCAGGTCAATGTCATTGACCTTTGATGACCTTAGTTCACTTCTTCTGGGTTCATATATTTTTAGGCTAGTTTTTGGAGCTGATTTCGAATTTAGCACCCATTTGAACATTTACGAAGAAATTTTGGAGTCTTGCCTTCGTACCATGTCACGAAGCTGTCAGTGTTGGTTGATATCTACTATGGACATTGGACAGCTAGCAAGACGCCTACTGGTTGACCTGACCTGACCTGACCCGACCTGGCCTAAAAACATCAAGACATCATCGGTGATCAAAGTTAACATGAAATTCGTGATCAGCGCCCCGAAAAGCCTCGTAACAACCTAACTCTCCAAAGTTTTAACAGGTCCCGATTTTCCCGACTTTTGAGTCACTGACCTGACCTGGAACGTCAACCAATAACCTAGCCCCGCCATGTGCGTTTTCGGCTAGCAAAGAATCGGAATTGCGCGATCGGAGGGTAGAGGTCAGGGTCATCGCAACAAGCTTCGCTTAGCGGTGGCTCTGTCCTTGTGAATCCTTCCCATCAAAAAGTTCGGACTAAATTTCTAAAAAAAAAAAAAATAAGGACGAGAGTCGACCCCACAGTACCTGTTGGTTTTCTACATACGCGCCGGCCGGGGGGTAGGGTTGGTACGACCCCCTCGTCGTTTTTCGCCCCTGTTGGAGTTAGAGCGTCGCGGAAAAAAACGAGCATGTGTGCCGTTAGGAGACTCAGCAACTAGTACCCGATTTTAAGGTCTCAGGTCAACCGGTGTCCTCTGAGGTCAGGTCAGGTGACCCAAGACATGGGTTCGGTTTTTGATTAAAAACATCTTTAAAAAAAAAAACAGTCGCAGAACACGATTTTAGCATCAATGTGCTCGCCTTGCTCAGGCGCGTCGAATGTTATACTTTTTGTTCGGGTGAGGTCAACTTGAGGTGTTTACCTCGGGTCAAGGTCAGGTCAGAGACCCCTAGGTCGCGAAATTGGTCAAAGGAGGTCGTGTGGCATATTATTCGATTCGGCAGGTCTTCCTCAGGCCATTGATGGCTTGACCGACTCGCTAGTTCAGTTTGATCGGGAGTTATCCCGCGACCTGGTGGGGGGGGGGGGCTATTTTTTGCCCCCCCTCCAGACTTTTCGATATATCTCCAGAACCGCTGCGCCGATCGTCACCAAACTTTCAGTACCCTCCCGGACATCAATTTTACACATTGTGACCGAAATTTTTTCCAAAGGCTATGATAGGTTGGCCGGAAATGACGTCAGAGTGACGTCATGTTCTGCCGTTTTCGACCCAAAAAAGGGTTTCGCGGAAAGAGGTGTCAGGCCTATAGCTTTGCAAATACAGAAAAATGATAAAGACATAAAAGCTGTAAAATGGACAGGGCTACAAAACTGCTATCTCGGATTTTTGAAATTTTTGGATTTTGACCCCCAAAAATCAAAAAATAGATTTTTTGGATATAATAATCGAAAAATCCAAAAAGTTTTATGAATTTCGCAAAAACCGGAATATATGTGATAGTCCTTACCGCCTTCCATCCACATACCAAATTTGAGATTGATACCTCTTTTTTTGGCGAAGTTATAGCGAAAAAACTGTTCAAAATTGATGACGTCAAATTTTCAAACTCCATTTTTAAGAGTTCTAGACCCCGTAGCGCAAAACAAAGACCACCATTAGACTCCTCGTGACGAGCTGCATCGAATCAATACCCATTTTATGCAAAACTATCAACTTTAAAATTTGACCTTTTTTGGCCTGACCTTGACCTGATCTTGACCTGAACTTCACCAGAAAGTGACCTAAGCCGTACCTGATAGTCTTATAACCAACACCATTGAGTTGGAAATGAAAAATTGGCCATAAAACATGTATCACACAACCTTAGTAAAGTTGGGCTCATGTGACCTGACCTGTGACCCTTGGTGACCTGACCTGTGACCTGACCTGGTATTGCCAGTGACCTCTAATAGCAATATATCTACTAGGCAATTGACGCCCTACCGCTGATTCTCGACAAAAT